ATGCATACCTTCATGCAATCTTTCTTACATTTTTCTTCATCTTCAAAAGATTAATCATGGTTAAGAAGCACCAAAAAAAAAAATTGTTAGGAAGGGAATAACCCGATTTGAGTATAAATACTTTATTTTCTCCGTTCCAAACTAGTTAACCTGATTTGACTTTTAACAAACATTATTCAACAAACTCAATTTTGACTAGCTTTTGTGATATACAGATAAGAAAAAACATAACCACATGTAGGATTTTGTCAGATGCCTTTTAATGTGCACTCCGTATTTTAAAATATCACCTTTTTATAAATTTCTTATTTAATTATAATTAGAGGTATTTTCGATTGAATTTTTATACTTGAAAAATTAGTAATATAAAGAAAAAACACATGTCAGCTAATTTGAAACAAAGAAAATAGATGTCATTATTAAATAAAGTTGGTCATAGTAAATTAAAAATAAACGTACCCTTTTTCTCGCATATTTGAGACATAGTTTGATGACAGCCATACATACAAAATAAGCTTTTATAAGCTGCTAGCATTTCATATTTGGTCTCATTCTTCTTAAATTTGCTAGCTCCATTTAATGATTTTTTGATGCATTCTACACGACATGCATCGTCTCCATTAGTTTTGCATTTGTTTGCGCATTTATCTAGCTTCTTGATTTCATGGATGGTTTCAGCCTCCAACTTCTTATCTGTTCCTAAAATTGTATCTATATTTGCTATAGCATTGTTGATGTGTGTGGCAATTACAAGAACAAAAACGAAAATCGTCGCGATTTTAAGTCCTTCCATTTATTTATACTTAGTATTAAATAAAGAACTAAAATTTTGTTGAAAAATTTAATTGTATTACTTAAATCTAAATGGTTGAGAAATGAGATTATATGTAATAGTAGTATTTCATAGTCTTATATATAGAGTTTTGCATTGTTTATTTATGGCATTTAAATTGTGAGCTAGCATAAGTTTCTCCTTCATTATGGTCTCAATTAGCACTTGCTAACAATTGGTGCAATTATTTTTTAGGCTAAATGGATGGAAGGAATAAATTGGTTTGATTTTATGTTTATTAGGTAGCATAATAAAAATCATACAAGTATATCTCACATTTCTCAACCAAGATTTTTCTCGTAATAGTTTGGATTAAGGAGAAAATTCAAGTTTATCACTTTGATAAACAAATTTATTTAAAGCTATAAATTAATCAATAATTATATATTAGATATGGGCCCCAAAGTTGAAAATATAATTAGGAAAATAAATGTTATGTTGACCGGACATTATAGTTTATTTATTCACGATTTCGCCACTTGATAAACGAATTTTGTTTATCAACATGATAAATTGGGGATCCCTATGAATTAAGTATGCATCGGCTTACAACAATGGTTTGGATTTCTGACTGACTCTTACAATTTGGTCCTGATTTAGGAAGGAAATTGATACAAACATTGATTTTGATTGAGAACATATTCAAATACTACTTTGATTAACAATACTGTATTTGAAATAGAGAGGAAGAGGAAGATGGACAATGTTTTACAATTAACTCCTATCTGATACCCGTGATTTATATTCAAATTGTTCATTTTGATTAATTATTTGTGGATTTCTGTATAATAAACGGCATACTCTAATATGGGTATCTGGCTCTCATATACGAAGTACGGTACGTAGTATATTGATAACAAGTACATTTACGAGAATACCTGAGTACCCACTAACCGTCTAACATTATGGTAAAAAAAGCACTAACATGATGAAAACAAATCTTAGGGCAAAATTAAAGTAAGATTCACAATCCTTAATCAAAAGTTTTTGTGTGCCCCAGGTGTACAGTAATATTACTGTAAATCTAAATTTCACACGTGTCATGAGCAATCAACTCATTCATGAAAGCAACAATAACAATCCCCAATATTTTTCTCTCTCATATTTCTTCAACTAAGCAAAAGAATATTGCACCCACATTCAACCTCAAAAACCACAAGAAGATTGTTATTGTGATCTATATAGAATTTCAATTCCACTGATCTAAATATTTCGACCTGCAATTGATTGACCTGTTGTTGATCAAATTACAAACCCTAAATTACTCAATCGCGATACTTGCTTTCAAATTTTACCATTAAGAATTCCAATTGATTTTTCCGGTCATATTTCCAAAGCTTCATTGCAAATCACGGTATGAAATTCAAATATTTAACTCTCAAATCATGATTAAAGCTACATGAAAACGACTACTTTGTATTGGTAATGTCAAATTAATCTTAGTTACTAGTCGTTATTGTATTATTTTTCATTTATCCCATTTCTTGCTGATATTTATATTGATTCTTCTTATTATTTTGTTGTGTTGTCTTCACTTTTAGCTTCAATGTAGTACTGGTGTATCACAATTTATCAAGGTACTATGCAATTTTATTGATACGGAGTATACCCGTATATAGCCCTCTGTAAATTGTTGTTGGTGCTTATGTATAATTAAGGTACTATGCAATTTTATTGAATATAAGAGTATATTCATAGCCCTCTGTAAATATGCCAGTAGTTAATTGGAGAGAGAAAACCTTTATATACATAAAACAATTTTTTATTGTGTTGTTTACAAGCCTATTAGTTTAATTGGACGAGTACTCTATGCTTCTACGCACAGAGAATGTAGGTTCGAATCCTACATAGGCTATTTTGTTGTATGTACGAAGTATTAACTTAACAAATAGTGATTCTAACTAGAGAAAAAAGTGACCCTAACCAAAGGCAAAAGTGATCCTAATTGAGGACAAAAGTGACCCTAATTGGGACAAAAGTAACCCTAACTGGGGGTAAAAGTGACCCTAACCGATTGAGGGCAAATAAAAGTGACCCTTGTTAAGGGCAGAAATTACCCTACCTGGCACAAAAGTGACCCTAACCGAGGGCAAAAGTGACCTTAATTGGGGACAAAAGTGATTCTAACCGAGGGTAAAAGTGACTCTAGTCGAGGGCAAAAGTGACCCTAATTTGAGACAAAAGTGACCTTAATTTGGGACAAAAGTAACCCTAAGCAAGGAGACAAAAGTAAAGTGACTCTCACCGAGGATAAAAATGACCCTAATCGAGTCAAAAATGACCCTACTCTAGTGAAAAAGTACCCCTAACCATAGACAAAAGTAATTGTATTTAAGAGTGAAAGTGACCATAACCAAGGCAAAAATAAGCCTAATCGAAAGCACTTAATTAATTAAATGATCCTAACTAAGAGTGATAAACTTGTTATATATAAAAATGGCCAAGGTAGTTACACCAACAATAGGAATACACCAATACGAAAGTGTTATATATGTATAGGCTATGCGGGGCTTGAACCCTCACCATGTACACTATAGTACATTGCTCTACCATTTGAGCTAATAGCCTTGAAAGTAGATGTACACTTTTCATTCTATTATAACCCTAGCAACATAATCACATATAGGACTAGGATGCTAAATTGCTAATGATTGTGGAATTTGCTGAAGGGATGAACACACACTAATGTTCGCCGACGTCCCTGCCATATCCATTGGTGGTGGGTTGCATCCCTGTCATTGCATTTACATTAGCAACACAGTAATTGCAGTACAAAACAAGCTCCATGATGAATCATATTTATATAGAGTTTATTGGCACGTTTATGCTAAGTTTATAGTTGTTTTTTAGGTCTTTTTGTCTCTTTTTAGGTCGCAAATGCTAAGTTTATATTTGTTTTGTACTCTATTACGCTCTTTTTTCTTAATGTTTCAGGTGATTTCATAGTCATTTGACGCTTTCAAAGTGTTTGGAGTTGATTCGGATGATATTTGGATGGAAGCCGATGAATCGAGTTTATTAATCGAAGATCCCATGCTTGTAAACGTCGATTTTGATTAGTGTGTACATGAGGAATGAAAAGCATCCACAAGGATTGTTATGCACTTTTCGGAGTTGAATTTGAGTTTAAAACGAAGTTAAACGATGATGAACGATATGTCAAAATAGACCTTTTCTCACTCTTTTTATCATAACTTGAGTTCTACATATTGGATTGCAATGATTCAAATTGTTTTGGAAACTAGACTTGAAGAGCTTTCCAAATATAGGTCACACGCCCCAATACAATCCCTACAACAGGAGTTACAGCCCCTGAAAGATGACCCTGCAACCAGCAAACCACCAGCGCCCGAAGCTCGGCAATCCCAGCCACGAGTGAGCTTCTGCTTGGCCCGCTGGATATCCAGCGGCCACTGGTTTGGGAGTCCACAGCAGCAGCTCGTGATGGGCCTAATCTCACCTTCGCAAGCTTCGTCGACTACGATTTTACATGTCGCTTTAGTCGACCAATCATAATATGACTTATGTAATTGCTATTTTTCTGATTTTATTTTATTTATTTATCTTTAGATTAGTTTTAGGATAATATAAATACTCCAAGGGAGTTTATTTTTCCCTCATGCCGTTTTATACCTTTTATTATTTTACGTTCGTTGGTTTTCTCTTGAACCCTAGTTTCTCATGGCATCTCCATGGATTCTTCCATGGAAGATTCTTGGGTTTATTATTTCAATTCATTGAAGTATTTTATTTCTAGTTGTTGCTTTTAATTATGTTTTATTCCTTAAATCTAGTTTTTAATATTTATTTCATGTTTGAGTAGTTTAATTTCTAGGGTTTGGGAATCCATGTTTATATAATGAATCTTGATTGATGTTATTAATATTTTGATTATTGATTTATCTAATTGATAGTGTTTTATTGTTAATCTTGCAACCTGATCAATTGTTTGATTAATTATTGTTAATAAGAGTTTGAATCGAAAGATCTTACTTTTAGAGGCTTATCTACAATAGCAATTCTGAGTATGTTAGCGACCGAACTACATATGTTGAATTGAGAGCGTTAAGACTCGGCCGTAGGCTTAGCAATTGCTCTAGATGATTGATTGATTGAATTGTTATTGATATTTGCTGGATTTAGAACTATAAACATGGTGAACCATACCCCTAGGTCTTTTTATTAATTGTTTTATTCTTATTTTAATTTAGACTTTATTTTTATCCAAATTTCGTGACATAATTTAGTTTTTCCGTACCTTGAAAGCTAGATTGAATATCATCTCCCTGTGGATTCGACCCTACTTACCTTACTACATTGTTAGTTGGTTTTGTTAGGAATTTATTTTTGACAGGTGTACGACAACCTATCACTCCATCAAAATTACATTACTTTGCCGCATTTCAAATGGTCAATTTCAGGTGAAATACCAAATATTTAATGAAATCAACTACGAGTATTACCCAGAAAACAATTGTATATCAAAACTGCCATGATTTGCACAAAATGAACACATAAAGCGTATATGATCCAATAATCACAAAAAAAAAAAAAAAAAAAAAATATTGTACATCAAAACTGCCATGATTTGCACAAAATGAACACATAAAGCGTATATGATCCAATAATCACAAATAAAAAACAAAAAAACACAAGCAAATAATTAGGTTACAAAATCCTAAATTATAAGAGAGAAAATTATCATGGTACCTCTATTTAGAACTATTGAAAGCACCATAATAGTTTATTCAGCAAAAACAAAACTATATCTAATTGAATGTAACATTTAAATAACGAATATCAATAAAAATGAAATAAACTGAGAGCAATCCCTTAAAACACTCGATCAACAAAGAGAAAGCAGTGAAGATAGCTAGGAAGGTAAGAGTAGAGAGAGAAACTGAAAGAAGAAAATAAAGAATGGATTTGAAAACTGTAAAAAAAAAATAAAAAAAATAAAGGCAAACAGGATTCACAGATGCAAGTCCATATTGAAGTGCTTAACTTGCTTTATATGTACCGATTTACAACATCCTTATTCCGAGTCTAAATAATACAGAAAAAAACATTCATAGTTGGAGAAATAGTGACAATTCTAGTATATTGGGTTTTTTTAAATATTTGTCATCCTTAATACTACTACAAACAAACAATGAACATTAAAATTAATTTAATTTTTGATATTGGATTGTGGGGTTCCATATACTCGAATCAATCAAACCTACTTGGCGCGTAATTTCCAATTAAAAATTAGAAAAAAATTAAAAACAAAATTATGGAAGAAATAAGTAATGAATTACCCAGATCCAAATCCTCTAAAAGATACCCTTTTCTTTTGTACTGTTCTTGTAAATTACAATCATCATCATCATTTCCCCCACTTTTTTTTTTCTTTTTGTTTTTTTTTCCTCTCCTTTGTCAGCTGCTGTGTTTTTGTCTAATTTGCTGAAGAAATTTGAGGAAAGTTTGAATCTTTTTATTTTTTTAGAATTTTTTTGAGAAGGGGTGATGGAAACTTCTGGAATTGAGCTCATAGAATCTGATGCTGTTCTTGTTAATCATCAGGTAATTTTGTTATGTTCCTTTTGTTTATTTCTGTTTAAACTATGAAAATTTGATAGTAGTAGTAATACTACGTGTGAAGTATATGTTATCTCAATTGTAGAACAAATTCATGTATAAATTTCGGGTTTTTCGTTGTTGTTTCGAGTTAGCGGTAATATGGTTCATGTGTGTGGGATTGATGATAAGTATTTATTTTTTGGGGGGATCAGCTAGTTTTGAATTTTTGATCATCTCTCAATATTGCATAAAATTACTACCTTTTCAGGCCTATGTTTTTTGGGGTTTTCAGGAAAATGCAGTAACTAAAATCTAGCTGCCAATCACTCTTTTACACGAATAGTTATAATTCGGATCATACAGTGAACCTAGTTCCAAAAGCTCAATCTTCTGGGGGTAATAGCCCACGTAATGGTTTTACAGTCTGGGTTTCAATTAAGCACAATCCATCTCCATCCTCGTGCTTGTCTGGGAGTGGTGTTTGTTAGGCATTAAAATGGCAACTTTGGACTTGTTAGGTTACCTTGCTATGCTACTTGGTGGAACTTACTGTATAGAGAGTATAAGATTGAGGATGGTATTGGAAACTTGTATAGCTACGGGGTAATCCCAAGCAACACATGTGAATGTCGCACACTGATTAAAGAAGAAAGAATTAATTACTTAGCCATATGGTTTTAAGGTGGAACCTCCTTTGACTGTATGAAGTGGATTCTCACTCTTGATGAGCCCCATACTTAACAGACGGAGGTTCTGTTGTAAAAATGCACTTGTATGGCCAGTCTGATGTGGTGATGAAGTCATGGAGATGGATGATGGAATTACTGAATGAGGTAATAGGAATGGAATATGCCAATTGATCAGGGTGACATTAATTTAAGGATAATGTTTAAGCACTCAGAACTTAACACCTTGAGGGAGTGTTCCTCATTGGTACAAATGGTCAATAGGACATCTCAAAGGACAAGAGGTTTCTGTAAGTGTAACTAATTTATTGATGAATTAAGTGATACCTGCAGGAGTTATTGGGGGAGGCTGGTTGTACTAGTCTCAATGACAATGACCTCTATGTGGCGTGATTAATCCTCATACTCCTTAATTTGGGACTTGGGAGTGGTTAGCTGCAGCTTATGATAATACCTGATGACTTGCGTGTTTAATTCTCTTCTTCTGGTAACTCTTGGCCTATCCAGCATTATATAATTAAGCATTTGGAGTCTACTGCAAAATTCTAACCTTTCAATTTCTGCCATCATCAACTAAGTTAATAGAGTTTGCTTGCTACTTCAGCATTAGCTCTGTTAACAATTTTTAGGACTACTGTATGCTCTTATAAGCTATAGCTGTCAGTTTCTGCATTGCTGAATTGTGTTACGATATGTTTCTGTCATCTGCTCAGGGTGAACACATTGATGAGAGCTCTTTAGCTCGTCAATCAAGACGTCCAAACCTATCTCGTCTGCAAATTCCAGCTAGGTCTCTAGAGAATGTGCTCTCTAATATGAAAAACACAGATATTCTTACCTTTTCAAGTCCGTCTTCCACCAGAGCGGGGTTGCCACCAAGACCTTGCTCAACCGGGATCAAATCATCTGTGAGAAACATGCTTCCACAGAGAAGCCTCTGCTCAAAGACTTGCTCTCAGGATGGTGAAAAGACATTCCTAATTTTCTCAAACATACCAAAGTCTGACACTACTATGGACAAGCCTTCTACTTCAAGGTCATTCTCTCTAAACAAGGTTTTTTCTTCTCCTTCAACCAAGAGAGCATGTTCATTACCAGTTACACCCATTGCAAATTCAGGTCCCCAGTCTGGGCAGGAAAGGGATGTGTATCCTGTCAACCATCTTATTGACTCAGTGAGTGCTATATTCTTGGTTTTTATTTACTTATTTTTAATTAATTTTAAGCTTGGACCATATTGTTTCAGTTACTGTGTTGTATTCATATGAGAACTAGTCTGTCGACCTATGTTGTTGAGTATATGATTTATTTTCATCCAGAACCAAGAAGCACAGCTGCCAATGAAACGCTCATTTTCTGTTCCAGTTAATGTAAAAAATGCAAGCTTAAAAAGAGTGGGTTCTACAGGAGGTGTAATCCGTGTTGTTCCAGTGACACCTCATCAAGTGGAAGTTGATACTTCTTTGCCAAATGATGCTGCAACTGGAGAAAGTGGTATGTGCATGGTAGTTTAAGCTTTAAAACTTTTCACTTATCATGCTACTTTGACACAATATGAGTGAAAACTATTTTTCCTTCTACCTTTCCTTGCTATGAAAATCAGAACTGTAGAAGGATTATATTGGGTTAAAAATTGTTTAATAAATGATGGATATACTGCTTATGAATCTGAACTGTAGTCTAGTTTAAAGAGGTATGTTCTGCTGTTCAATCTTTTACTGTTATTTTCGATAAACCATTACTGTTATTTTCGATAAGCCATTCTAGTTTAGTCCATACAGTTCTACCACTTTTCCAAGTAATGACTGTGACAACAGTCAAGGGTCAATTAATTGGACCTAAAATGGCTTAAAAAGTGCATTTTTCCAATTCGCTTCCATTTCCTTGTCATTTCATTCTGTTTCTTTGTTCATAATGTATATTTTATAACCAAACAATGTGATGTAGAATTTATGTGTCACAGCACTTGTCGACTCAGTGATCATGAGGCTAAAAGTTGCTATTTTGACACATAGTTCTAACACTTTTTTACTTAAGAGGCGTACAAAGAGTACAAGGACCATAAAAATAACAGTTTTAGCAATTCAATATGCTAATAATTGTTTTGCCAGACTCTTTCCTCACGTTTGACTGTGTGTCCGGGGATTTGGGTTGTGGAATTGATGCTTGCCAAGGAATTCCTGATGAAATGTCATGTTAACATTTTGTCCAGGTAACTAGTATATGAAAATGTTTTAGTTCGCCTCCTGTACAAAATTGCATTTTTAGACTTAGAACTGTGTTCGCGTTACCTATATATATACAAAATCAGTGTATGCATTGCTTTGATTAGCATTGATACACTTCTTTGGTCTCCAGTGCTTCACAAACAAAATGAACAATGCCAACTTCCCAAAGTAGTTCACTTTTGATTCTCAGTTATTTTCACTACCCAATAGTTTTTATACCTGATCTGTCCAATATCAACCGTCAGATAAATTCGCTCTGTTCTTTTATAGTTGCAAGTCTTGTTACGTATCTTTTTGCTGGTCAAACTTTGCAAACTTTGAACAAATGTTTTGTTTTTCTTACTAATGTAATAAAATCTATGTAGAACTTTGTTTGATTTGTTTCAATGTGTATTTCCAAATTATTATCTTTTGATAATTTTCAGTTTTTCACTTATTCGTAATTAAGATTTTAATGGTCTAAAGTTTGCTTTGAAGACCTTAAAAACTGTGTGTTGCAATAATAAAAGAATAATGGAAATTGTTTGGAAAAAGTAGGCACCTTTCATTCATTAGTACTCCCTCTGCCATAGAGGATTAGGTACCTTTTCAAAGAATATAAATGAACGCTTCTTCGAGTTAAAATCTAATTTACATTATCAATATATATAAATGATCGGAACTCTAACAAAATTCTTTTATTTAATGCATTTACTTTTCTATTTATATGGGGAGAAAACAAATAGGATGGTAGGTTATTAATCTTTTTATTCTGTAGGGCTTCTCTCTTCTGTGATATTAATTAGGGATATTAGTCCACTGAAACTTTGATAACAACCTACCATTTATATGAGAACGGAGGGTGTAGTAGATTATGATTAAATTTCTTAAAATACCTCCATTTGATAAAAGCAATGAAGACGTTACTTTTTTGTGTTGGGTTGAAGGTTCATTTACCTTATTAAATAGATGTATTTCTAGCCTTTATTTTGTTATTTTCAGCAGTTATGCGATGGTGAAAATAATATACATACAACTTCATCTATTGTTTGCTTATCTGGAACTATAGGTAATAAAGATGCCAGTGAAGACATCCCTGAAGAAGAAGCTGTATGTAGAATATGTTTGGTTGAGTTAGGGGAAGAAGGCGTTACATTTAAGTTGGAGTGCAGCTGCAAAGGTGAGCTTGCACTTGCTCACAAGGAATGTGCTGTAAAGTGGTTTACTATCAAAGGAAATAAAATATGTGATGTCTGCAAGCAAGATGTGAGAAATCTACCAGTGACTTTGTTGAGGCTACCAACTCCTCGTCCTGTCCAGACCAGGCCACCGATCATCAGAGAGAATACACAAGTCCCGCATACCAGGCAAGTTAATGGGGACAACTTGCTTCAATATTGTGACTTTGTTTAAGCTACCTTTAGTGTGAACTTGCTAAAGTACAGGGAAAACAAGAAAAATTCTATCTCAGAATCAATTAGAATTGGCTGATCTGTCACTGTGATCTAATCTGTGTTGTCCCAATTGAAGTGAAACTCTTGACTCTGCGTACCTCTAAAACATGTCTTTTAAGGACATGAACAAAATTCAGAAGCTGTCAGCTATTGCTTTGGTTTTCAGATCTGGCAAAATATTGATTTGGTATTATAAAATGAATTGCTAGATAATATGAAGAAAGGCTAATTTAATGGAAGTTAGAAAATTAGAAATATAATGTGAAAACAGAAGTTTATTTTATATTCTGTAAAATACTACATAATATTAATTTGGTTGTCTGAAAATGCTGGATAATTTGGAAAGTATTTCATGGAGAAAATGGAAAATCTTCAAATTTTTCCGTATGCTAGCATCCAGATTTTCTTGTAAGGGAATGATATCATCTTAATTTTCTTCTCATAGATGCTACTGCTTTGTATGCTAAGCTGCTACAGAGTAACATGGAGGTTTTTGCATAACTGTAACTTTTTACTGTCTTGTGATAATGTAACTGCCAACTGTACTGGTCGATTTAGTACATATTGAAAAAACTTAATAAGTATGATGTATGTGGAAATGTGTAGTATGCTATATAAGACTAAAAAAGTAGACAATTTATTCTTTGCTGATGATACACTGATACTGACCAGTACTTGTTTTGATGAACGATTATCTGTATAGTGCATTATAGGTGAAATTGTTTACTGAATCTGATTGATTTTTTCCCCTTCATTTTGTTTGCAGGATCTGGCATGATATTCCAGTTCTTGTGTTAGTGAGCATGCTAGCGTATTTTTGCTTTTTGGAGCAACTTCTGGTAGAAGTTCCTTCCTTTTTTATATCTGAAAAATTGATTTGATTTTGGCTGTTGTATTTGATTATTAGACTAAAACTTTTGGTTGTTTTATCTTTTATTTATCAATAAGCTTTGTTGTTTATTTGAATTGCCGAAGGCCAAATGATGCCATAAGCTTGACCTGGATTCTTAGCTTTATTGGGCAATGAAAGTACTTTGTAATTATTATTTGCACCATGCAGATGCACTCATAGGAAAAATAAATTATATTATTAACAATATTTTATTGTAGACGATTAGACTATTTTGTTCAGTAGGGAAAACTTACTATAGTTACTGTACCAATTGAAGATATTCCAATCCTTTCTTTTCATCTTAATTCCCCAGTCCTGACTGCTATTGGCCATTGCGTTCTTGTCATTGTGTTCCAAATGGAGTGATAATAAGTTCTGTACATACATAGGTGTCAGATCTTGGCGCACGTGCTCTAGCCATATCATTACCTTTTGCGTGTGTTCTTGGTCTTCTATCTGCCATGATAGCATCTACCATAGGTAAGCTTTTCTGCACAAATCTGCTGAGTTCACATCAATTTATATAGATTCTCATCTTTCAAAAGTTTTTGCTTCTATGGATGCAGTTAACAAGGGATACATTTGGGCATATGCTTCGTTCCAGTTTGCAATTGTGCTCCTTTTTGCTCATATCTTCTATACTGTAGTAAGAGAAACTCCCACATCAGACAATACAGTCTATGCGTTTTTTGATTTAATGACAAGCTCTAATATGCTTACTTTTTCATGCGTCTTAATACAGCTTAATGTTGCTCCACTTCTGTCTGTTCTTCTTTCCTCATTTACTGGATTTGGAATTGCAATAAGCACAAATGCGCTAATTGTGGAATGCCTTAGATGGAGAGCAAGTTCTTCTGAGCCATTTTTTCATCCTACAAACAGAAGCAGGCAGCCAAGGCAACACCTTCGAGATCATCATCATCATCATCATCATAATCAACATATCCACCAGCATCAACACCGCATGCATCATCAACCTGTGCATGTTCAAGAAGTCTCGTTGGGGCCCATGGATAATATAAGATCATAAGAAACTGTGATAATGCATCCACTGTCCTGAGACAGATGTGAAATGATGTTTATCGAAGGTATTATAAACTTCAAGTCCTATATTCCCTTCCAAAGTTCATTAATTGCCTTCATAAAAGTGATAAAACTATGTTCTCTTAGTTAGCTTGCTCTATTTTGGGTGTTTTAGTTTTCTTGTGTTGTTTCTTTACTTTTTTAAGTTCTCCACAGAGCTCTATTTCCTGACTACCCCTATTAAATAATTTTTGCAGAACCAACTGCAGTTTACTTCCTCTTTTCTGAAAATATCTACAATGCATAGTTCTGTTGGTCTGAACTATCCCTTGACCAAATCTATTAACTTAATGACCATTATCGTGACTGTAGTTTCATCTGTCTTTCTGTTTTGGCCTGAGATCCTTGATGAAAATATCCTCTATTTTACATGGGTTAGACAAATTCCATCTGTTGACTGTCAGCCTAATGATAACATAGTCCCAATGTTGTGCAGGAAAATGTGGAGAAGAAAAATACTGGTAAAAGCAAAGGCTTTCTGTGAAAAGTGTATGATATTAGACTATTAAGGTGTTTATTGGTCTTTAGCTAAATGGCTCTATTCACTTCCTAAATTGACACATTTACTAGCATTAGATTTAAATTTAAGAGGATCGGTTGAATAAATACTTAGTCCCAAAATGATTTGTTAGTCGACCCCAAATCATACTGGGACTAAGGCTTTGTTGTTGTTGTTGTAGATTTTAATTTAAGAAAATCAGTTGAAAGTATGGAAAAATTCACATGTATTTGAACTGTGACATGAACTACACATAACTCATTGCACTTGGTTAAAGCTAAGGACCATAGGTGATAGGCCCTAGTTCAATATTATCCTACCTCCATGCAGTCTATCCCAGAAAGAGTTAGAATTGGTTAAGTATTGTATATCGAGAAATGAATGCCGCTGCAAGCTAGACAGAACTTATTAAAGAAGAGAGTGTGGTTACAAGTACAATGACTTAAATTTGTGTTCGGGCAACCATGCATCACTTATCACCTTCAGTATCTTTTCTTTGACTTTTATCACTCCCCTAATGTGTTACCTTCAATCCAAGCATGCCTTTAAACTGTTACTTGTCTATCTAATACTCCCGCAAAAGTGTTTTCTCTGCAGGTCTTTATAATCTTGTCTCTGATTCTCTATTAGTCTTGACTAATTAGGGGCATGTTAACATGTATATGAATCTTCCGAAACTTTCAGGGCAGGACCTGGATGAGTATGTTCTTGCTATATAATTAGAAAAACGTTGTAATTTGCTAATCAACAGTAAACATTTTATCTTTTGAAGTTTGTGTTATGACTTGACAACAACATTTTATCTTTCCATGCTTACAGTGGTCTCCTATGTACCGAACATGAATACCAAAGATAGAATGACAGCTGCTCGGTTCTTATAGAGATTGTACCTTAAAGTGACGTCTGCACCATCAATGCAACACTAACTGCTTAAATTCTACAAGATGACGGAGTTCTTGAAAGAAAGACTGTTACCTACCAAGACCAGTCGTGCCTAGAGGTACAGTGTACACCAAAATTCTTGCTAGCTGCTTCGTTCTCCAATGTCCTCATTCCTCACCACGTTGTACAAAAAGGGATTTCAAAACCTTGTAATCTTGAGCTCTAGCCTATGTTTCGGGGGGAAAATGCTTCAGGATGCCTGCTGCCTTTTCCTCTCCCTTCGTCTCCCTCCAGTTTTTTTTTTTTTTTTTTTTTTTTTTTTTTTTTTTTTTCTTTTGTAATGAGGGAGATGGGGTGGGATACTCTCCAAAACCTGGACAGTCCAGTAACTAGATTTTTGTTTGACGGAGAGAAGCCTTTGATGGGAGTATTATGGATGCATACATGGAGCATTGTACAGTGTTGTGTGCTTACTTTTTAGGCCTTATAAACTCACCACTTTGTCTTCTATTGCTCTTTATAAGTTGCTTTCATCTCCGCTTTGGTCATATTGTGTAACAAGAACCACAAAGAGTATTATGTAGACGAAATTCAATCTAAGGGTATTACCCCCAAGATTTTAATATACTAAATTAGTCGGCATTCACTTTGATAAATGAAGCTTTTACAACACATGTTTGTCTTGTGATTTCAACCTTACTTTATTTATGCACAACCATAATGTTCTTACTACTAGTTGTTACAGAAGTCATTCAAAGTTCAGGGAAAATGAAAATGCAACCTATGTGTCTTTCCTCACGATTGTATGAAGATGGCATGGTTAAGGCTACACTTTAAATAAATTACACACCCTCTTATTTGGCTTCATGACCCTATGCAGCCAGTAACATAGCATTTCTGTGGGAATATAGTCAATAATTGAGGCATTGATATACGTGCCATGTTTCAGAAATATAGCTTTAGCTGCAGCTCCATCATCCACAAAACAGATTTTGGGAACGAAATTTCAGAGGCTCTGCCTCAGAGCCATCCAGGGGCTTGGAATTCTTCTCCCAGAGCTTGTACATGATCCTGAGTTAAGGCCGACATACGCTCATCGGCTCATACCATCAACAAGGCACCCATTTTTCACCTGAGACAGGAAGTCAATGATCTTGCTCAAAGTTTACAGCATTTTTTTTGCAGAAAAACTTCTATTTCAATATGCAAAGTGTATGACAGAGCTACAAAAGAAAAAGATTTAGACAAGATTTGATCCATGTCAAGTACCAACCCAAAGACTTATTGCATGTTTGATATAAGTCATGCTCTAAGAAGGAATTTTTTTTTTTTTTTTTTTTTGGAGAGGGGCGGGGGGGGGGGTGAAATTCATTCTGTTATGACAATGAAAAGGCTTACCTGTTGACAAGTAAACAAATACCAAAATACAACAAAATGATCATTTATAAAAGAATTAGATTTTTTTTTTCCAGATAAACAATCATACAATAATAACAAACTTAACATAGAAACCCTATTCTGACCTTGCTCTGCTTACACTGACAATTCATACCAAAAAGTTTCATTACAAATGCTATGATATGAGCCTAAAACTCGTATTTCCTGAAAACTCTAAGGAGAAGTTGTGGATATGGCACATTGGCATACCCTTCTGTATATAATGCCACATCTGATTGCCTACAGAAATCATTCAAAGATGAAGGAATTCTGTCTCCATTTCGTTCCTCATAATTGTATGAAGATGTCACAATAAAGGCTCCACTCCGTTAACATATCCATTATATTAAATTACACCCCTCTTATTTGGCTTCATCACCATCTCAACAAGTCTGTACATCCAGCGATCAAGCAATCCTACAAAATGACAGCAATGGAAGCACCAGATCAGATATTGAATACAGTCACACAGATGTTATAGGGAGTCTAGATGCAAATGCCAGTATATGCACGAAACCTCCCACCCCCAGGATACTGGATCCCCATACACCCCATGTTCAAAGTTTCTCCTATCAATCTGAACAAGATGTCATGATCAGTGTCCAATATGAAGAGCCAGAGTTCTTTCTAAGCAATTTCAGATGCAAAATTTAATAGAGCCCCCTTTTTTCTTTTTGGTTTTTCAATCTGCAGATTCCAATAGTCAATTTCAACTATGGAAGTGGACACAAGACAAATGTGAATGCTAATAGTCACTGTTTGGAAATTAGTGACTTTGTGGCTCTTCTTGGACCTGCTAATCATATAAGTAAACGAAGGAGCAGCCAAATTTTGAATATAAACTCTGTAAAAATCTATTACAAAGTCCCCCAAAAAACAATTGGATTACAGTTGCTCAAAATTAATGCTAGCTCAACAATGATCTGAGATAATTGTGGATGACTCAAATCACAATAAAGATATTTTAGATCCATTAGAAACCTTAGCATATAAGACAAAAAAAAAGATGAAAATTTCTCATCTTTGCTGCTTTTGTGAAGCACCTAATGTTCTTCACAAGACCTTCAATCCTCCATGTAGAAAAAGCTAATACTTCCCCGTTTCTCAATTGATGCATCTCTTTCCTTTTTGGGATGTTTCACTATATATGCATCCCTTTTCTTTTTAGTAAAATTTTATATGCAAAGTTACTATGTTGCCCTCAACTTAAGTGGGGACCAACTCCACTTTTACTTTACATGCTATGGTTGAAGGTTAGCAGCCTATGGCCAATTATGATAATTTCTATACTCTCTCTTCTCTTTTTTGGTGTGTGCTGACTCTCAAAAATGCATCAATTGAGAATCAGAGGAAGTACTACTTTCATGCTTGCCAATGCATAATTTCAATCATTAATATCTCTTATAATCAATAATTATAAATAAAAAAAATTATAAAAAATTATAAAAAAAAAAAAAAGGAACTTTTTAAAATTTTATATGATGACACATCTAACAAGGTCTCACATGACCGTTTTTCACAAGTATAGATCACCAAAGACGGTCCAAGTAGAGTATGTGAATAGTGTAAAAGTTAGAATGTTGCAAATAATTCTAATTGGGAGAAGTATAAGATTAACCAGCAAGGACATAGGCAATCAAGCATACCTGTCAAAGCAAAGGTACCCCCTAATACTGCACAAAGCCTAGTGAGGAAATGAAGAAAACTGCGGCGTTCTTCTCTGATTGTTACAGTGATAGGCGATAGATCATACAAGAAGTAAACAGCTGCCAAAGATGATACAAAATGTTTAGAAAAATAGGCAGCAGGGAAGAACAAATAGCACCTTTAAAACATAGTTTTTTACTTTACTTGCTTCATTACCAACCTGGCCATGTTCTATCAAAGTCTTTCATAGGTGAAAAGTATTCTGTGACAGAAAATTGGTTGGTAGGCAACACATCTTTCGAGGTATATCTGTACTCTGTAGGAACAATCTAAAAAAATAACAGATGTAGTTTAGTCATGAAACCAGTGGGTGCTTGTCTGACAAAATAATAAAGATGGTCGCTGCAAGGAAAGCTGCTCAAAGAAAAATCATCTCACGTTGACATTAGGCAAGCATCAACTCAGACAAAATTTTGATGGTACATGATGCTCAGTAATGGGTAAACATTTTATTTAAGTTCCTAAGTTATGTATACTCGAGAGTTTTTTAATCCTTAATTTATGCCATAAACATTGTTTACATTATGTGAAATACAGCTCCCTGATCAGGGACTTAATCATATTCTAGCATGGAATCAAAGCCTAAGCTCCTATACCTAAATTTCTTCTCTCTCTCTTCTACTGCCAGCCTTCCCCAGTTACACCACCTCCGGTTACTTCCATATAAAACTACCTACAAGGACATTATCATATTCTGGCAGATTTATAAACTTTATTACCCAGTAGACTATGAACATGTTGTGTGTCACAATCGGAATATTATTGCCACATTCAGTCCTAACGAGAATTCTATGTGTCTAGCACTCAAACTCAATAACAGCCTTAATGCAAGCACCAAGCAGCACAACTGAAGAGCCATGATTTGACACTCACAAAATACTAATCCACCAGTTCACAAATTGTAAGAAAGATAAAAGTGAGAAAAAATGACACTCAATGAAATGATAATGGATGAGAGTTCAACTGCGGCATTGCTGTAAATACACAGGTCGATCATTGATTATATAAGTAGCGGTAGTAGGCAACTTAATGTTATGAGGTAAAGTCTAAATTTAACTGAAGAAAATCACCATAGGATGCTCCAAAAGATTTACGATGTCCTTTAAATAAAAGACAAACAATCATAGATGAGCCATAAGCATAATACATGATGAAGCACCAAAAACCCTGTAAATCAAGGCCCGCTTGAAATTAAAAGCAAAAGCTTAGACAGTGATTAGCATGTCACATTAAAATTTTACTGTCCATTAAAATATTAAAGAGCTGAGATGCAGGTAATCGAAAGGCAACATATGGAATAGATATTTATTACACGTGTTTATTGAGCTCACAGAATGACTAGGGCATAAGTGGCATTAAATGACACCCAACATACCTTGATATAGTATTTGAAAGTACCACTTGTACCACGCAAGATGCGAACTGTCCCATCAAGGGGGTTATGAATTCCAGGATAAGTTGGGCCAAATGATAGCTCATGAATCATGTGGCTTACATTAACGCGATTAGATCCTTCAAAAATCTGTCAAAAGACGAGAACTTTTGATTACTACTTCACTCATCATGCTAAGAATGAACATTACAGCAGTCAAATGTTTTACAGCATCCAACATTCAGAAACTCATATCTACAGTTTTCCATTCTTCTAATTTACATTTTCTTGTTTAAATTCTCTCTCTCTCTTTTTCCTTCTTTTTTAAGAGGGAGGGGGGGGGGGGTGGTTCCTGCCTTATCCATGCATCAGCTGCCCCACCTCAGATTACCAAACATCAATCCACTATTTAGCTGCATATATTTCGTGCAGGTGTAGACGCGTAGTTATATTCTCCTTGAACTACAAGCCAAAAATATTCCCATATTTACATAATCTTTACATGTCAAGTTATTTCAACCACCCTTCCACAGAAATTCTTCCTTCACTTGCAGAATAATTTGCTGCATATTTTAACAATGGGCATGGGTGCAGAGCCTGACATTCTTCCTAACAAGATAAACTAATAATATGGCATAAAATCCTCACATATTGAGTGTACATAATAGCATTTCAGAAGAAAAAGGACACAATTTCCACTTCCATAACTTACATAAGCAACCTAATGTGGAAGTTGTAATGGATTATTCAATTACCAATCATGACCAACTTCATCAGTACAAAGAAAACTATCCAAGAAAAAACTTGTGACTTAAGCAGCTACAACTGCAAAAAATGTAAATTACAAGTGCATCAATTGTTCTAATTTCACAAGATCTCACCATCTGAGCAACAAAAATGTTCAGTCCATGAACTGATACATGAAAATTCCCAGCAACCCTTTGCACATCTAAAACGCCATAAACCTGTGAAATATATAAGTTCATTCACTCATTAGTTGCTTTACCACAGTTAAAACACTGTCATAGATAAATGCATTTGAAAAAAAAAAAAAAAAAAAAGACAAATACCCGACAGCCTTCTCCATTTGCCATTGCCTGCTTAACTTTTTTTACAATGTTTTCAGTCTCTTCATCAAAGCTTTGCAGATGACTTTTCTGTTTTGAATCTTCGTGCTTATCTTTATCATCACCATGCTCATCTTTGTGGTCATGCTGATCTTTAGAATCCTCGGGCTGATGTTTAACATGACCTGCCAAGAAATGTTCTTTAGCTATAATTAGTGTGTCTATGCTAACAGTCAAACCATTTCTAAGGAGGGAGCATCAAGCATGTCATCATAACTTCTAAAATGGGAATTTGATAATTTAATAACCCATTGCAATTGATGAAAAGAGAAAAGAAACTCCTGAAATGCTTTGGTCCAGGTAAACAAAAGGTGGAAGAAGTCTGAGCCTCTCTAGTCTCTATTGTACACATGATACATACAAGAAACTACAATCACAGAGGCAAAATTTATAGGGTATATATGTAATATTGTTTACCTATATAAAAAAACTTCTTCTAGTTTTCTTTTCAAATAACTTACGTTTATGTGTATTGTACTTCAATATTAATATTCTGAATACAACTATTTACATCTACATCAATGTCACTTAGGGAGTATAATAACTCTTCAAGCCAAAATAATTTCTAGTTATTACTCATTTATATTTGTTATACATTCATTTGCTGTAAAGACTAATAAGAGGAAAGAGGGACCACCCATGTGAGAAAACTCCTATGTTTTGGAGGAGAGAAAAAGACTAAGGTGTATTTGATGGATTTAAATAAGTCCCATTTGATGGGCCAAGGGAGGGAAAAAGAAATAGCAGATTTACCTTACAGGAAGAAAGTAAAGGTGGGTAGAACAAAAGGAAATAAATGGAAATAAAAACTGGAAGTAAAATAACGAAATTCCTAACTATAGGGAGAACCTTTTTGAAATTTGAAGCTAAACACTATTCAGCAATTTATTTTTTCCTTAAGGAAAATATTGCTTAGTACATATGAAATAAGTAAGAGAAGTTAAAATCATAAATTCCTAACAGAACAAAGAAAATGTAATGCACCGAATGTATACCATGGTCATGAGAATGGCCATGAGAATGGCTATGAGAATGATCATGGGACTGGCCCTTCTCCACCAAGTCAGTCAAAAATTCAGTTCCAATAATATGGCCATCGCTACTCAAACGAAGCTGCAAAATATCAAAGGGGATGTGTTAGTAAATAACGTCTATTTCCAACAAAATCATATTGTACTAAATTACTATTGCAGTGTTTGCACAATTTCACGTGCTGGATAAACGAGTTTGGCTTTTATTTATTCATTTGATGATTGTCTTAAAAGCCTTTATTTATTTTATCTTAGCTTGTATATGGTGACCATGGTTTTGAGGCTTGGATGCGGTCGTGATTGCGGTAATGGTCGTGTAACCACTTTCATAGGCAATGCAGGTGGAATGTGGTTGTTGTGGCCTAATATTTCGGTGGCAGTAAGCTCAGAGTCCTTTACAATCTAGTGATGTGGCCGAGAATTAATACCATGTATATGATACTTTTTCATTAATATTAGTCTTTGTCCTATTGGGTTTTTCTACTTGGAGAATCACATGATGTCTGATGTGTATGTCTATATGATCATCCAAAGATGCTCAATAACTATGGATTATTGAAGGGGATAATATGTTATTTTGTAATCTATGACATATGGAAAACTAATACATAATTTTTTGTAACTACAAAGTTGCTATACTTGTTAAGTAACGAAATTTGAATTGGCTTATAGCTACTACCTAGTGCAAAAAATAATAATAATAAATCTTTTGATCCAAGGTAAATAAAGGTGGGTAGAATACAAAAGCAAAGTGAATAGATAGCTAAGATAGAAAGACTTCTAAACCCATTCTTGTTGGCTTCAAATTCACAGCCTACTTATAACTTATAAGCACCTTTTCTTGTCATTGCTAGTACATGTCCTTTAGTAAAAAGATGACATAGCATGATTCTTGGGCATGAGAAGGGTTCCATGTGGTGGCACATACACTTAACTAGAACACTTTTTAATACTCGCTATATTAGTATAGGTTTATCTTTTACACACAACTGGCAAGAATTATTAATTTGAATTTACAAGTTTAGCAAGATATATTGGTAAGATTTTGCTTCTTATTTTATACGGATAATTTTGAAAGGCCACACCTAATGAGACTTGTAATTGATTTAGTCTTTCAGTGTAGTTCGAAGTCTAGTTATTTTGGTTTTTACACAGCTAAGTGTATAGACGTTTTTAGACCAATTAAAAGGCATGTCATTGTATGTTAATTTGAACTTTTGACTGATTGATAGAATCAAGGAATTGCCTAAAAAAGTTGTGCAACATTTTCATCGCTTGAGTGTTAATTTAGTCATTTGGAGTCAGAATCTCAACACCAAGTTTGACTACATTCTCAAATAAGAAAAGCTCAATAAACAAAAACCAATTTTATATTGTAATTTGTACGTGAATGGGACTTCAATATGGTTTATATGTTTAATTACCCTTGTGTCTAATTACTCATCAAACATCATCCTCAAGTGAAAAGCTAAAATCTGGATATCAGCCCTTTTATCCACCACCCCCCCCCCCCCACCTCTCCCCCAAAATACCCTTTTTACCTAGCTCTCTGGTTGTCCTTGCCCCCTCAGGCACTAGACAAACCAATAAAGAAGCCAATTTTAATAAAAACAAATGTTCATGATTGACTGGGGGTGGTGGATTCATTTATCATCCTTAGACCTTAGGAAAGGAGAATAAGTCTTCTTGGGAGGGGGGGTTGGTTGTCCAAGATACAATATTTACATCAAATGTTGCAGGTGGGCCAGGCATACATATTCCCAAGACAAACATATTTAAATCTATACTAACTCATCCATTATCAAACAATCAATCAATCAAAGCCTTAATCCCATATATACTTACTCGCCCAATAACTTTTTTTTGAAACATGTCTCATGACACTTGACAAAGTTTTCCATAATTTATAGAGCAATGTAAAGTGATTTTATTTAGGCTCTGTATTTGTCTATAAACCTAGTACTGAAATGAGATGTTCCTGAGGTATAAAGTTCCTGCAAAGTCAGCGTGATATTGAGCGTCGCTCCATGAGATCTAATCCACTAATTATTCCATGCAACTACTGATGCTCAATTAGCTTTGTATCCCATAAGATGTATTCAGCAATGAAATCTTATCTCACAGGACAAGAAATAAAAAACAAGAACAACCATTTTTTGTATTGTGAGGGATAAGGTGTACAAATCTCATTATTACACACTAAACCACAACGAAGATATTCATGGATTTATAACAATCAAAACAATTAGTGACAAGGATTGGAAAATCAGGCCATCAAAAATCATAAACCTGGATGAAGCATAACATACTTTCCATATATTTGTATCAAGATCCACTTCATGCTTTCCTGACATATCTATAGCATCCACGCTGAGAACTGCGCAAAACAAAGGTTACATCATGAAGAAATTGAAAACAGATAAGAATGCCAAGTTCACCATTTACACAAAAAAACAAGTGGTGGCAGGGCAGATGGAGTGATTACAAAACAAGAATGATCAGAATAACAACATCCATACTAACCATCACATGGCAAGGAAGGGAATGTCATGTTTATGTGTATAGGAAGTGTTTCACTGCGCTTCAAATCCACAGACATCTACAAACAAAAAGATGTAATTAATTGCACAGAATAATCAAACGGCCATAATAAAGCGACAAGTAAATGTAGGTAACAACTAACCTGATTAACTGTATAGGTACTCAAATAATATCTAAGCTCATGTATGAACAGAGTGGCCATTATGACCAGGCCAATGATAGAAACTGTAAAGCCAAAAAGACAGGTTAGCCATCCATACATACAACAGTTTCTGTGTGACAAATGAGATAATAAGCGAAGGTTTGAATATGAGAGAGTTAAATGATGCGTTAGTTTTAGCTTATAATAAGCAAAGAAAACCATTAGTTTTTGCTTGGTTGGCCAGAAAATGCTCTACCCATTAGCTGACCTAATAAACTACCTTCAACAGTGGTGTTCTAATGACAGATTAATCACAGGAAAAATTGTAGAGAAACTACCTTTCCTATGGAGTACCACAACCTTTTTACAAACTTTTTTATTCAATCATGAACCTTATAAAACACGTTATTCAGTCAACACTATCATTTGACGAAGATCATGAGTTTTGAACGTCAAGTATGACCCACAAAACCATAGCATATAACTAGAAGTAAGGCACGGAAATTATTTTAAGAATTATACTGATTGTTTTGTTTTTTTTTTTTTTTTAAACATTAAACTCGTCGCTTAAACCTCACAAAATCCATGAAATGACTGTTAAAATTGAAACTAAATTTTACAAGGTCATTAATAAAAAGAACTGGAAAATGCGATACTATATATATATATATATATATATATATATATATATATATATATATATATATATATATATATTTTTGGTGAAAGAGAGGGGCAAGCCCCGAAACAAAGAAGCAAACTAAAACATAAATAAAAACAAAACAAAAGCAACTAAAACAAAGCAACACAGCCTAAGGCACTCTACTAGCCAGAACCATCCTTGCCTGTGTCACCCCACTCAAGTCCTCCAATAAAACGGCAAGAAGATCCTTCGGGACCGCCTCAAAGAGAACAAACTTCTCATTCGACTTCACGCCATAGTTAGCTAACCAATCCGCCACTCAATTAGCTTCCCTATAACAATGAGAGATGGTAACCTCCCATTCCCTTTCGAAAACAATAGCTTTGCACCTCCGAATGATGTGAATAAATGGAGAATTGGCGGGAATTTTCTCCACCAACATACGCATAACCTTAAAGTCCACCATGAGCTGCACTTTCCTCTGGCCCCCATCCCACACAACACTCAAGCCTTCTAACACAGCTGCCATCTCTGCTGTGGTACAAGTGCAACGACCACAGTTTAAGGCAAACACTTCATGTACTTCGCCACTATGCCCCCTAATAATTCCGCCATCCGCGTTAAGACGAACCCAGCCCTCCTTTTGGAAATTGCCATTTGATAAGCTTCTCAATCCTAGACTATTTTAAATTCCCATCAAAGAGCTCAGCTTTGTCCATAGCCCTCTTGATTTCCCCCACCCTTGCAAGAATGAAACCAACTTGCTCAAAGGGGATGTTAGGAGTAGGCTGGAAGGATCTGGGATTACGCCACCTCCAAAGCCACCAGCACACTACACAAAAAACACGAGGCCACTCACTCCCCATGTTGGCCTTTTGAGCATCCAAATTAAATAAGATCCATTCCTCCAAGCTCAAATCTTCACTCATATTTGCCCTTCGCGCCCCCAGCTTATGCCACAACAGTTTAGCCATAGGACAAAAACGCAGCACATGGTAAGCGTTCTCCTCACTCACCTTCACCACAGATTATACATCGAGGATCGTCTATCAAAGTGCGCACAAATCTTGTGGTGTTTGTCATCAATCTATCTTGAATAGCTAACCACTTAAAGAAGCGAATTCTTTGAGGAACCGGGGCTTTCCAAATCGCAGCGCACTCTTCTTTCGAAGTATCAATTACACCCTCCAAATCTCGCACAATATATATAGCAGAACTCAAGGTAAAGCCACCCGACGGTGAACCATACCAATAGACCTCATCTTCCCCTTCTTCATCTTCAATTAAGTCATGCGCAGCAATTTCTTCAAGAATATTAGCAATTTCTGCAAAAATATCAAATTTCCAACCCGTCTCCTTATCCCACAACTCACGCACAGTGAAGTCTTGGATGTCAATAGGAGGCTCGACCGGAGCATACTCAATACAGGTTCCTTACACACCCAACGATGGTGCCAAAAGAATGTGCGGTGGCCATCTCCCACTGCCATATTCAAACCCTTTTGAACTGCATCAATACTACTCATAATTCCTCGCCACGCATTCGATGCATTCGCTTTCTCTTTGAACATGTCAATATCACAATGATTATCGCAATATTTAGCACACATGACTCTCGACCAAAGGGCATTTGGCTCAGCTAATAACCTCCAACCCAATTTAGCAAGGAAAGCTTTATTGGGTTGTCTCATAGACCTCAAACCCAACCCACCAGCTTGCTTAGGCTTAGTAATTGTATCCCACGACACATTGTGCACCTTACGGACTCCATCATCCTCTTTCCAAAGGAATTTTCTAACCTTTTGATCAATCTCATCACAAGTCGATCTAGGCAACTTGGTTGATTGCATAGTATAAAAAGGGATAGCTGTGAAGGGTGATTGGATGAGAGTCATCCTCCCTGCCATGGACATAGTCCTAGTCTTCCACCGCCAATTTGCCATTGATTTTCTCCACCAAGTATTGATAATCTCTCTTTGATGTTCTACCATTAATGGTAGGAACTCCAAGATATTTACCAAAATCTGCAGTTTCTTCCATGCCTAGAGTATTACAAATAGCTTCCCAAATCTCCAAATTTGTATTTTGCGAGAAATACACCCTAGACTTATCAATACTAACCTTGCTACCCGAGGCTTGACAAAACTGAGTTAGGCAGTGCACCATGATTTCTGCTTGTTCCACGGAGGCTTGAGAAAATAAAATGAAATCATCCGCAAATGCCAAATTAGAGATAGAGGGCCGTTACGACAAGCTCTCACTGGAATCCACGATCCTAACTTCACTTCCCTCTCAATTAGATGAGCTAACCTTTCCATACAAATCACATATAGGTATGGAGAAAGCGGATCACCTTGTCTAATGCCCCTAGTTGGAAAGAAAGCATCCGTGGGCTCGCCATTCCATAAGATTTGTAGCTTAGTCGATGAGATACATTTCATAACCATTTCAACAATATGTTGCGAAAGATGAAGTTCCATTAATGACTCTCGGATAGAGGACCACCTCAAGCGATCGTATGCCTTTTCAAATTCAATCTTGATTGCCATGAGACCCACTCTTCCCTATTAATTTCTCATAGTATGCAACATTTCCTGACATAGTCTGTGATTTGACGTTTGGGAACAAATGAGCATTGAGTCGGAGAAATTAATTGTGGTAGCACTGGTTTTCAACCTGTTAACAATAACTTTGGTGACTAATTTGTACACAATGTTGCACAAACCGATTGGCCGAAACTGGTTAGTACGATGTGGAACATCAACCTTGGGGATTAACACCAAATACGCATCATTAAAGCCATCTGGAAAATCTTTTTTATCAAGAATTCCTCAAACTAGGTTGACAACATTAGGCTCCACCAAATTCCAAAATGACTTGTAGGCCTTATACGATTTCATAGACTTAAGAGCAGCAACCACTTCGCAGGGGCTAAAAGGGCGGGTTAAGGTCTCATACCACTCTATTAATTTCTGGAAGAGGAGCTGAAAGAGTTCGCCAGTTAAGTTCTCAAGTTCTCCTCCTGGAATAAAGTCTTCCAATATTGCAGCACCAAACTTTTCACCTCGGCATCCTCTTGCTCATCTGGGAGAGTTTCAATTCTATTTCTACGACGCCTAATCACAGTTGAGAGATGGAAATAACGAGTCTTCCTATCCCCATCACAAATTGCGTCCATTCGAGATTTCTAAAACCAAAGCATCTCTTTGTCATTCAAAACTTCTTCCAATTCCCTTCTCACCTTTGCTTCAAGCTTAGCTAAGTGCCTCCGTCTACTGATTGCCAATTCGGATTGAATGCCTTCAAAGGCGAGCCCAAAGCTCAGATTTGCGTCTAATAATATTGTAAAATTCCTCTTTATTCCACCAATTCAGTTTATCCGCAAATCGCTTCAAAAATGGGACTAGGGGTCCACTGCAATCCCAGTTTTTATGCACAAAGTCAGAAAATTTTTGGTGGTTCAACCACGCTGCCTGGAATCGGAATGTTTTAATTGCCGAAGGAATGGGTGCAAAACCAGTAGTACTAATGATAATAGGACAATGGTCCGAATGAGGTTTGGGCAAATTTCTCATCTCAGCCTCTTCAAATTTCATCCTCCAAAGATCGTTCGCAAGCCCTCTATCCACTCGAGAGAGGTTTGAGGTGAGGTACCTCGAAACCAAGTATGGCGAGGACCCGAGCATCCAAGATCAATAAGCCCATTATTTTCAATCCAATTTGTAAAATTCTTTACAGCGCCTCTGCATTTCAGAATTATCAACACCATTTCTCTCTTCCATGGGCATAGTCTCATTAAAAGTCACCACCAAGCAACCAAGCCAGAGAAATTATCCTTGATTTTATTCAATTCCTCCCATAAGTCTCTTCGAAGGTACTATCCGGGCTTGCATAGACGGCTGAAAATAACCGTGGATCATCACCTTTTTTCTTAATACTAATTGTTAGGTGTTGAGAGTGTTCTCCATAAGGAGTAACATCCACTTGTTCCGCTCTCCGAAACATCCATATCCCACCTGGAAACCCTTGAGCCTCAACTCTACGTTGACCAGAGAAGGCAATCCTGATACAAATATTATCTGCTTGCTCTCCACTTATGTGTGTTCCAACTAACACAAGTACAAAAGGATCATTAATCCTAACCAATTCTCGAATAATCGTAAATTTATTACTCACCCCTTGAATGTTTCATATCATAATCTTCATAGACATATTAAATGAAGGGAAGTTCGGGTATCGATCATACACATTAAATGGAACATTAGGCAACAGGTCGAGGTCGAGGTTCAGATACATTAAGTGCCTTCATTAGGCCGTCCGTCACATACGGAATCTTGAACAACGCCATCATCTCTAAAACACTGTGTGCGGGGCAAGTAAGTGCTCACATTGATGTCTATCTTGTTCACCAACGGATGTACCGTTACCATAAAAGGCCCCTCCATCTGATAATCAATGAATGTCTCGTACTCGGGGGGGACTTTTGTTTCTAGAGTTATTGGGACTTGAGAGGGATTCATGGTGTTGTTGTCTCCGCTCACTCTCACTGTCACAATTTCCTCTTAGAGCTGAAGGGGTTTGGGAAGCAATTTCGAAGTAATTTTCTTAATTACCACTACTACCCAACTTCAAACTTAGAGAATAATTTCTCAGATCTCCTTTCTTCCCTATTGGTTTGCTTTGCTTAAAAGATCCATTCTGGGAAGCCAAAGGGATTCTCAAATTATTTTTTGAAGATTTTTACACCCCCTTTTTCTGGTTAATATCCTTAGATAAAAAAATTATCTTCTTCCATAATTATCTTATTGGTAGAGGTGATCATTGGGCGGGCCGGGCCGAAGCAAAAAAAAATAAGCCCACTTCTCGGGTCGGACTGAGTTGGGCCGGAATTTTTGTGCCCAAACCCGTCCAAAATGGTCGGGCCGAGCCTAAAAAATCAACTAAATATGCATAAAAACGCATTCTCAAACCCGTCCAAAAAAATAAATTTTCGGGCCGAAAAATTCTGCCCAAAATCGGCCCGGGTCGGGCAGGCCAACGGGTCGGGCTAACTTTGATCACCTCTACTTATTAGTACCCGAATCATCTTCAATTGCCATATCATTAAGATTTTCTCCCATAACAATATCTTTTTCCAAACTGGGATCACCCAAATTCACTGCAGAATATTTACCTTCCAAAATTTCTTGTGGCTGGACACTTTCCTTATTTTGAAAACTGGAGTCACCAAGATTGACCACATTATGCAACTGTAAGTCTTCTAGGTTTGAACCATCTTCCAAGTCAACCCTTGTGACATTCGGATTCTCAGCAATGCAATCCTCTTCTTCATGGGTCAACTAAAGCCGCAAACCTAGAGCCATTTTGAGCTACTGATTTTTCCTTCAACTCTTGAAAATTTGTGCCTTCTTTTCGAACCCTGCACACTTGGGTGGCTTGTTTGTTTACTCCCTTATCTACATTCTTTCTATGCTGCTCATCCTGCTGCTTAGTTTGGTCTACCTCTTTTTGCTTAGGAACAGGCTTCCTATTACCTTTCTGAACCAACATCCAAGCACCATATTTGGATTGTACTTCAGAAGTTGACTTCTATCAAAAATTCCTTGCTCATTGATAACCTTTGCAGGTTCCTTCCCCTGAACATCTTTAGCCTCTTGGAATACACCACAACTATCTTCTTTATGACCTAATCTTCCACACTTGAAGCAAATCATACGTAATCCTTCGTATTGGATCTTCCAAACTCTTCCATTCAGGCAGAAGTTCATCAGCAATGGCTTAGTTAGGTCAACTTCAATGAAGAAGCGAACATATTGTCCTCTGTCCATGGACTCTGTATTCTTATCAATTTTGACAACTTTTCCGATTTTCGATCCTATTTTGAATAAAAAGGCTTTGTCAAAATATTCCACTGACAATTTAGGAATTTGCACCCATGTCGTAAGAGATTTGATTGGTTCCTCAACCGACACAAAATTAGGTATCCATTTTTGGATTGTGAGATAGCTATCTCCTATCATCCAAGGTCCATTAGTCAAAACATAATCGTAATCCTCCATGTTGCTGAACCTCACCACATAGAAAGCATGTCCGACATATGTCAATGCTATTTCACCCTTTAATACCCATTTAGCCTTCAACCTCTTCATCAGAATTTCATAACTCGATCTCCTATCAAATAACTTGATGATTAGGGCATTCAACCAAGGGCTTCGAAGCCTTTTCTTCTCCCCTTTTGTCAGCCTAATTGTACGGCAACTCACATCATCATCCGGTTATTCTTGCACCGAGTCATCATCAGAGATTTCATCTTCCATGTCTAAATCCTCATAGAGAGGATTTTCTCTTTGAATTCCACCTCTAATAGCCTCACTGTATGACACTCCATTAGGGTTTCGATTCCTCATTTCTGGAGTTCCCTCCACAAATGTACCCATTTCAACATCTTCGTTATTCCTCTTAAGAGAAGGAATTATCACTCATCGAGCCATCTGAATTTCTTTTAAATTTCTTATTCGACCTTTTATGCAGGTCATTCTCCTCGCTCGACAAACTTTTCGCTCTCTCTTGCGAACTCTCCATTTGAAATATAGCTTTCCCTATCTCAAATCAGATTAACATATATTAAATGTACTACATATATTAACATATACTACATTTATTAAATGTACTTTTTCACAATTTTCCTTAATGATAAAGTTTCACAATTTGAAGCAGAATCATTCATCCTCCCCCGCATAACGATTCATATTTGGGGTATAGACACTATTGCTCACTTCAACTCTACTACCATAGCATTCTACCATAGATATCATCTTAATTTTTCTGCGGGAATCGTTACACTACTCACATGAGTGTCTACAATGACATAACACCAACAAAATAACCCCAAAAACCAGAAAATTAGTTGATAAAAACAACTTTGCAAGCTAAAATATAAGAACTCCATTTCAAATCAGAGCTAACATAACCTCACCCAACTAAAAACCCATCTTCAAAATAGGGTTTTCGACACAATTTATAACCCGGAAACCGAAAACAATAAATCTAAAAATCAAAGGGCAATCTCTTTAAAAGCAAAATTAAGGAAATATACCAATAGCGCCAGATTGTGTCTTCTGCAACAAGTGTTCTTCAGCACGAGGAAATGCATCAAGCCTCTTTATAGCTTGCTTAACCCCCATAATTCCACTCCAATAACAATATAATTAACACCCTTTAGGATGAAATTACCTGTTCAACATTAAAATTACAGAATTATTGAATGATTTGCAATGCAGAAAAAAACGAAATTACTGGGAAAAATTGAGAGTATGATGTCAAATTATACAGAAAAAATTGCATAACATATGAGAATTTATAAAAACGAAGATGATCTAATCAAATAGGTATGGAAGAAGAGAGAGAAGAGAGTTACCGGAGTGACGACGGAGTTAACGGCGGCGGAGAAGAGATGAGAAGGGAGATCGTAACGGAGCAAGTGGGGATCTGTTGAAATTTAGATACAACTTTGGATTGTTTCTGTTTTTGCCGGTAAATTATTTTTTTTCCACAATATTCAAGCTCATTTTTTTAAGGCATTTTTTTTTTTACAAAAATAAAAAATGGGAAATTTTTATTTTGATTAAATTTGTTTTGGTTAATTGATGGCCTAAACAATTTCTAGTGTGTTCAGGGCGATGTACTAAATTGTAATTTTAGTAACTTTTGTCAAATGTTGAAGTATTGAAGTTTTAATAAATAAAATAATTGCTTATATTATTATGCTCTCTACCATGAATTGAGGTAAGTGAATTGTCTATTATACTTATTTTACAATAAATGTGTTGGAGATAAACTTTCCTATATAAAAAAGTGGGATAAAAATTAGGAAAAAATTGGTTTTAATAATCCCAAATTTGCCCGATTTTCTTTATATTATTCAAATTTTGGATTATTCTAATCCCAATTTTGGGATGTGTTTTTCTTTTAACAATCCCATATCGATCAATAAAAGTCAACAACCTGCTATATCAGGTTACTTCACACGTGTTAAGCCGTAATTGGTTCAAAATTTTTAAAAAAAGAAATTGAAAAAAACCCTAGCCCCTCCCCTTCCCCACCAGACCACCCTAACCCCACCCCAACTCCCAGCCGAGCCCCTCCCTCGCTGACTCGCTGCCCCTCCCCACCCCTGCAAACAGTCAACACAAGTTTTTTTGCCATAATTTCTAAGACGATTGAACTTCAAATTGCAATAATCAAATCCAAATTCAGTCCTGAGCTCAATTCCGACGCCATGCTACAAATTCGAAACAAATTACAAGCAATTCAATTTCAATTTCAATTTCAATTAGTATTATGAAAGTTGACATTTTTTTTAATCAAAGAGGAGAAAGAGAGAGAGGGGTACCTAAGAAGAGAAAGAGTGGAATCAGAGGGAGTGCAAAAATACCATTTTTGGTAGGGGAGAAGCCAAAACATACACGAACAAGATTGAAAATTTGGAATTAAGTTGTGAAGGAAGGAGGGTGGTGGGAGGGGTGGGTTGTCGCTGGGCACCGGTGCAGGGGGTGGAGATGTGGTCGGCGCGTGGGCTTAAGGGAGGTGGTGGGTATTTTGGGTATTTTATTTTTATTTTTGATTATTTGTTTATTTTTTAACCAACTAATTTGCAATGCGTGGCTTTTTTTTCTGAATAAAAATTGACTTTCTCAATCTGTTACCAGTCATTGGATTATTAGAAGAAAATACACCCAAAGTTGGGATTATTCCAGATGACACCCCAAAATTAGGATTATTCTAGAATAATTCAAAGTTGAAATTTTTTAAAATTAAATCGGCGGACAATTTGTAATTATTAAAACCAATTTTTTCTAAAAACTAAATACTATTTGTCTATCTCTTTTAATGAAATACTTTTGTAAGACTCCTTTAAAAAAAAAAATACTTTTGTAAGACTTTATTATTTTTCATTTTAAGACTGTAAACTTGATTTCATATTGAAATGATGGTTAAGTTCTCATTTTACATTTGATTTGTCACAAATTCAATTCCTTGCAACAATAATGTTTTACATAAACGAAGAGTGTCACATAAACTTTTTTTTAGGAATGACGACTTTTAATATATTATAATAACAATATATAGGTTTTTTTTAATATAATTTTAAAGTAAATGTGGAGTATTCGATTTTTTTTTCTACTTCAAAATATAGTCATGTGAGGTCTTGTTAGGTTTTCAAATTTATAATATTTATTTTTTAATAAATAAAATATTTACAAAAATACATTTTGAGTTTTGCTCAACCCGGTGACAAAGGGGCATGCCAATCATATGCGTCTGAGGGTTTCTAAAATATTGGTATATACTTTATATTAGATTATTGGATCTAGTAGATGAATAAAGTTGATTGTAATATTTGAAAATTTAGTAACTTAGGACTTGTTTAGTTCACTTTATTTTTTGCTTATTTGATATGATTTATAATCGTTTGATTTATTAAAAAAATCAAATTGAATCTTGTTTGATTCATAATTTTGTGTACTATATTAATATCTAATTTTTATCATTATGAAATTAAAGATATATAGCGATTAAAAAACCATACATTAAACGATAAAAAAAAATCTATTTTTCTAATGTTAATTCTGATATGAACTTATTTTTTCTGATTTGATATGAAATAAATAAAAATAAGTTGTACTATAGTAAACACACGTGATTTTTTTTTTTTATTACATTTTTTTTACCGAGGTTAAAAATTTGTATTTTTTCGTTTTTCATCCTAAACTTTCTGGACAAAAAATTCCAAAAAATTAAAATTCTTCATCAAATACTCAAAACTTTTACTCCTCCGTACTTCGCATTAACGTATTAAACTCCTCCGCACTTCAAAAAAATGATGCTTTGAACATTTTCCTCCTACTATGGTGATTTTTTCAAACTAATTCGCTTAATTTTCTTAGAGTAAGAGAAGCTTCTGGTGAGAGTGTGGGATCAGATTATCAAGAATATGGGTAGATCCACTTACATAGGAATTGCTGCAGCATTTGCATTTTCTAGTTTTGCCTTCAGATTCTTCCTCAAACCCCATCAACATCATCAACCTTCGGTAATTATTTTGTTTAATTTCTTATTTATTTTGTAAATTTTATGTGAAAATACAACAATTATAGAGTACTAATTTATGGTTTTGTATTGATGTAGCACAGAGATTATTCACTGTTCAAGAATTGTCCCTTTATAATGGAACTGACGAACAATTGCCTATCTTCTTGGGAATACTGGGGTACTTTACAGTATATTTAACTTGTATACTCTCTTTTCAAATTTGATTTGCTACAAAAAGCTATTAAATTTACAACTGAGTTGTGATTCTCAACACCCCATTAAATGAAAGATATGATTTTTGATTTTGATGGGATTTTTATGCTGTATTCTTGGTTTTATTTTTTGTGAAATTTGACTGGAAGAATCCCTTTTCAATAATTTGACTGGAAGAATCCCTTTTCAATAATTTGTGTTATTTTTATTCGTTGATGATTGGTGGGTTTAATTTGGAGTATAATGAATTGTGTTAGTTTAAGAATTGGAATTGGAATTGGAATTGAGATGGGGTAGGGTAATTTTGGTCCGCTATGATTGGGAGGGCATCAAAGGCTGTGAATTTGATGATAGTTGAAAGTTGTATAGCGGTCGGTGGGTTAGTAGACCTTGGTCAGACCCCCATTTCATTGAAACTAGTAGTGATGGACTGACGGTAGTATTAATCATCAAACCCTTTCGTGTCTCATTTCTGGATATATCTCGAATACGGACCTTGCACTATATTAGAAGCTGAGAAGAATGGTTATTGGTCTATAGAATTGATTTTGTGTGTTAAGAAGCAAGTGAGGCAACAATGACCACATATATTCGTTGCTAGATACTTTTTTTTGTAAGGCATTGCTGTATTGCTGGTGTACCTTTTTCTGTAGAGCTACTAACTTTATTTTACTATCTTTTCATTTCATGTATCAGTTCGGTATTTGATGTGACAAAAGGGAAATCACATTATGGTGTTGGAGGAGCTTACAATCATTTTGCTGGAAGGTTGTTACTCTTTAAATGCTCTTCATTTTATTCTTTTAATATGAATTGGAGGCATGGAGACTTTTTAGATGATGCATCAATCATAAGTCTGAATGTCCACTAATACTTGTTACGATGTGACTATTTTAATGTGCATTCATTTTCACACTAGGAGCCGTGAAATGCCTTGTATTTATAGTTTTTTATTTCTTGCATATGGGGTCTTGCAAGGTTGGGCATTTTGAACTGCTTGCACTTTGTACTGGAAATAGTTGTATTTAGAAAACTCTGGTGATCAATCGATCATGTTACAGATTGATTTTCTGGCTTTCAACCCGCTCTGATTGCAGGATGAATCTTATGATTGTTGCTGGTTTGGAAACTACTTTTTGGGTAGCATTTACACAATTCAATAAGTTCTGTAATGGTGTCTTATACTTAGACTTACAAGTTTATTCATCTTACACAATTCATGGAAGTGGAAGTGCTTCATAGCCAATTATAGAGAGAACTTTTCTTACATCATGTGGGGGGCTGAAACCAAGAGCTTTTCCTGTGCTTATGTTTTCAATTATTTTTTTTTCTTTATGTTAGAAAAAACATGTAGGCCTGAATCTGATTCAAGCATACTCCTTTTTATCGCAGAGATGCTTCACGTGCGTTTGTTTCCGGAAATTTTACAGGTTAGATTATGCCTTATTTGTTTTCCCCAAAAAGTTTTTTGTTTGCTTTTGAAAAGATTTCTCTTTACTGAGATCGTTAAGCATTCTTTTCATAAGCATTTTCTTCAAATTCAAGTCTGTTGGAGGAGTGACTGAGTAACCACAGAAGGAGTTGTTAAAAGCCGAAGAGAAATACTAAGTAAATTGGATCATGGTTTTTAGTTGATGCACATGTAGAATTGTATGGGGCTCCGAGTTCTTTTATTTTTGTAGTTAAATAAGGTGTACAGAAAATTATGTTTGTTGAATTGTGGTGAAGAACAAGAGATTTACTAGCCCTAAATATCTGTCATAAGTTACAATTTGGTCATTTTTTTTTTTTTTTACATATGAACTGGAAAGTCATTTTGATGGGCTGCGTACATTCCAATTCTAAGTACTTTAACTTTCAAATATATAGCTGGAGTAATTGAGTTAGGTAGCCAATTGAAGTTATGACAGCCAAAGTAACTTCCAATTCAATGTGTCATTATTTAAGAAGCGGGTTTGTCCCTGACAATTTGGTTCTTTCATGAGCAAAGCTAATGCCTTGAATCACATCGACGCTGAAAGCCATGAAATCGCATAGCTAAATGCTGCTTTGTTAATATGGAATATGCATCTATAGTTTTGTTTGCAGTTCTATTGATAAGTTGTGCTTTAGTACTGGCAGAAACTGTTATGACATTTTGGTTTAATATGGACAAATTCTTGCATCCTGATTAAGTTTTTGCAGTTACTCCTGAATGCAGGTGATGGACTTACTGACACACTACGTGGACTATCTAGCAGTGAGGTTCTTAAAAATCATGCTTCCTCTGTTTATTTTTAGTTGCGATGCTATAACTTTCACACTAATCACACCCTATGCTTTGAGTCTTTGACTATCTTTAGTGATTAATATTTAATAAAAATATAGTCATGTGGGATCTTGTATTAGATTCGTCTTAATTTATACTTTTAAAATGATTTTCTTTATAATTTATTTATTGGTAATTAAAGCTATCAAAAATAAGCATTGACAAGCGTTAAAATAGAAATGTTGCAAATAAAATAATCGGAGGAAGTATTTTCTTTGGGTTCTTTCACTTCTTTGCTGGCCAGAGTATTTTCTTTGGGTTCTTTCACTTCTTTGCTGGCCAGACTTGTCTGATTTATCACTAGATTTCAATATTCCTGTATTCCTTTCCCTTTCCCTCTTTCTAATGATTGCAAAGTCAACAACAGTCTCTCTCTCTGTCTCTCTGTAAGTTCTGATATTGCAAAGTCATAGCAGTCAATCTCTCTCTTTCACTAATCTTTTCTTGCCCCTTCTCTTTCACTCTATATTGCAATGCTGAATATGTTGAATTGTTTCCTATGTATTTGCAGGTAAAAAGTGTTGTAGAATGGCGGGATTTCTTTATCAAAACATACACGTGAGTTGCATAAACTGAAGTCTAGCTTTCTTTAGTACTACTGTACTAGTATATTACACCTGAACGATGATCAGACAAATCTTTATTTCAAAAGAAGAATTGAATTAAACAGAGACATACATCTGCTCATAGAGTCATAGAAAACTAAGAAGCAATGTATAAAAAGGCTTAAGGCGCTTTAGTGTTCCCTGCATCTAAGGCGCACCTCTATGCGCACCTGCTCCTCATTGAAGTCGGGCGCATATGTGCCTTAAGCTGAAAAATCTGAAAAATATGTGCGCCTCTGGGGGTGTGCCTTAAGCTGCGCCTTATCAAGATCGCCTCTCCTAGACCACAAAAGGCGCATGACCCCTTATGCCTTGAGCCTCAGCGCCTTTTCAAGCACCTTTACAAACACTGCTAAGAAGTTCTTGAAGTTTGTTTGTGAAATAAAGTACTATCATCTACGTTTGCCTCCATAAGCTCGGTTTTAGGCTGTTCAACTCTATCTAGGTCATGAAAGTGTTTATGGGGTTTTTCTCACTAAGCACAAATACACAATAGTCAGAGGCCCTATTTCCTTAAATGTTCAAAAAAAAAAAAAAAAAAAAAAAAAAAAAAAAAAAAAATTGAAAATCAGTTTGAATACCAATTTCAAAAAAAATCTTTTCGCTATAAGAATAAGGTCTGTTTAGTTAGGTGTAATGAGAGAAGGGAAAGGAATGGACAAGGCTTCCCTTTGTTGTTTGTAATTTAAATCATTCCCTTTACCCTCTTCATTCCCCTAAAGTTCTATTCTTTGATTCCCCACACCCCCAATGGTATTTTCATTCCCTTTGTGCAACCCATGCGCTTCCACATCCACTAACACCAATGCACCTTCACCAAATTGTCACCACCTCACCACCACCACCACCATCAACACTCAAAACCAACCCAAACCACCGAAAACTTGCTCGGAACCATCTTGTCTAGCAAAAAAAACCCTAGCCACACAAAACCACCAATACTACCAAAAAGCCAAGAATAAACAATTTGAACAATAAATTAAGAGAAACAAAAAAGATATATCTTTGGTCAACAGTGATATTCTGGCCACAAAAGGCGCATGACCCTTAATGCCTTGAGCCTCAGCGCCTTTTCAGGTGGGGGCGGTGGTGTTCCGGCAAAGAGGGGTGGTGGTCATGATGGCAATAACCATGAGAGTGAGAGATGGAGGAGAGATGAGAGGAGAGTTTAAGACCAAACAATATACTATTTAATGGAAGTTGCTTTCCATTATATCCTTTTCCTTCCTCAAACTCATTCATTCCCTTTCTCTTTAACGAACCAAACGACCCCTTAGTATACAACATAAATGAGTTCTCTAGAGATAACGCAAACATCAGTTTTTAATCAGCAAAATCATTAATTCAAGGTGATTAAAAAAATAGTTGTTATTGTAAACTTAACTTCACTTGAGTAAAATTGTCAATTCAGATTTTGATATATTTATTTCTTTTATTTCTTGTAATCGAGGTGGACTATTTACAAACAAACAATTTGTTTATAGATTTGTTGGTAGATTGGTGGGTCGTTACTATGACTTTCGCGGGATACCTACCAAGTATTTGAAGAATGCAGAAGCGAAGGCAGCTAGGGGTGCCCAGTTGCTGGAAAAGCAGAAAAAAGAAGAAAAAAAGATTCCAAATTGCAACTCAAAGTGGAGTCAACATGAGGGTGGGGAGGTAAGACATTTTAAATACTCCCTTCATATTTTTTTAAGTGAAACGTTTTGACTTTTTTGCACTATTTATCTAATCCACTTTGACTAATTTTAGTGGTTTACAATATAAGAAAGATATAGTCTTGTACGTACTTTTTGAAATTGTCTCAATAAATAGATTATTACTTTATAATATTCAATTGTTATAGTTTGTCTTTATTGATAATCAAAGATATTGTTAGTCAAAGTTTTGGTGTCATATTTTCAAGTTTCAATATATGATCGTTGCTCTCAAGACCTTGATTACTCACTCCTGTTATAATTGGATTATGTTTTGGGGGGTATTATGAAAACTTATACCGAGACGAATTTAATAAGACTCCACATAACTATGTTTATCATAACTATAAATAAGAAAAGCTAGTTAAAGTAGAGTTTGTGAATAGTGTGACAAGTCAAAATGAATAAACTATAAAAGAACGAAGGAAGTATGTTGGAGAGCTTGCTTGTCATGTCCTTAGTTGACATTTTAGAGTTAGTGGCTGTATAAAGTCAAATGTGTTAGTCTCATCTAGCTTAAGAATAACCAAGGATTAAGCTTTTGGAGTACGTCTAAGTGAGATAGTTGTGTGCCTAAGAATAACCATTTTGTGATTACTGCTCAAAATCATTTGAATTACCGAGTTGTTATTTTGGGACTGTCTTGTCAGGTTTGGTGTGACGATGGCTATCCAAGACTGATGCAGAGACCCTTAGAGATCGCATTGACAGGGAAAATGAGCAAGCGTTGTGTATGTTTGAAAGAAGAAGAGTTTCAACAACCAGGCTTGGAAGTCTATGAAGGATGTGACTATCATGCCAAAGCATGCAAAGTGTAGATGGAACATTTTTTTCAACGTTCTTCACTAGTAGTATTAGAAGTAACAGGTTTATAAAAGCTATGTATGGAGCATAAACCAGCATTCATGACGTGAAGATCGCTTGTGGTAAAGTCTTCAATCGACACTAATACTACCATGGTTATTAAAGTCCTGATGTATGATTCTCAATCCTAAAACACATCATTAGTCCGACTTTTATCTAACTAAATCACATTGGTATAAAAGTTAGCACTATTATTACACATTAGTATTATACGAAGTATAAAAGTTACCATCAATGACATTGGTATAAAATTTAGCAAAGTGATAATATTTGACTTTTTTTCTTGCTAGAGCCTATGTAATCTGTATTGTACAAGTGCTTAGTTATTTTCATGTTTTAAACTTTTTCGGTCTTTTATTGTCTTTTTTATTGTTAACTAGCCTTTGGCCCGTTTAATGCACGGGTTACTGCTTAGGTTATTTTTATATGAAGGTACGTTTTTCAATAGTTGGAACTTTGCTATGAAGTATAAAATATGAAATAATTGTTTTATGACCATTGAGGGGAATGAAGTTCACTACTAAAACTAAAAAGAAAAAAGGGAATTTCTCGATGGTAGCCATAAAGAATTGCACATTCTCAATGGTAACAATTTTTTTTTTTTTTATAAATTCTCTTAAATAGCATTACTTTTTATAAAGTTCCCAAATATAACAGTACCAGATGGAAGCCCATGCAATGCACGGTTTTTTCATTTAAGATTTTTATTTATTTGATTTATTGTATTTAATAATTTCAGACAAAATTACAAAAGTTTAATAATTTTTTTTTTACTATAATTTATAATGAATTTATTAAATATAAATAAATTGTAAATATGATTTTTTTCCGTTATATAAAATCTTTAATGTGAAATGATAGATTTTTAATAATTTAAATCCTAAATCATTATTCATTGTTTTACCATATCTTTTATTTCGATAGAATCACCAACCTCGTCCACAACCAACCTACTACATTAATGGATAAATTGAACCGTGAAATGTTAGCCAAATTGAAATTGATATAAATTAAATCTTTACATTTATATTAAATAAATTAATATATTTACCAATAAATGAAAAATTGTTGCGATATAAAATCAAATCTATGCATTGGAATTTTTTCATCATCTGCAAAAATAACTAAAGCCATCAATATATATTAAGTATACAACATCTAATCGTATGCCATTACATAAACAAATAATTGTTAAGTATCTTAAATAACTACAATGTAACTAATAATTACAAATATAAATTTAAATATAAGATTTTAAAAATTACCTGGACATTAATGACCTAAAACTAATACAAAATTCGCTTGATGGGGTTTTGTACTGATACGAAATTTTATTTGTGTCGTATGATGTGTTAGATCTGCATGTAAAAAAACATTTAGTAAACAAAACATAAACATATAATCGTTGAGTATCCCAAATTAATAAATTTAAATAATAATTAGAAATACTAATTTAAACATAGGATTTTAAAAATTAAGCTAAAAATTACTCAGTCATTGATGACCAAAAATTAATACAAAATTACTATATTTATCTTTATTTTTACTTTTTTTTTCTTCATTAAAATAATTTAATTCGTGGATTATAATCTACGTGGCATTAAAATATTAGATATAAAATCTAATTCGTTACTTTTATCTAGGTGGCAACATAATTTTTTAATTCAAAAATAAAATACAAATTTTTCTTCTTATTGGTCGAAATAAGTATATTTCTCACGTGGCGCTCCGAATGCTCTCAAAAAATGTCTACTTTGTTTATATATATTAGATTTTTACAATTAACAACTAATTATCTTAATTGAAAAAGAATTAGCCTATTAATTAAAGAAAAAAACAAAAATAACCGAGCCACCTTTTCCCTACCCCTGCCACTTTGCTCCCACCTTAGCCACCGTGCACAGGCGTATACTACCCTTGAAATCGCGCCTGGCGTTAGTGACACCTCACCTCGACCCCCGACCCTTGAACTACCACTGTGCTTGCTCTTCATTCATCCCTAATTTGTAAACCCTCCCTAATCTCCCCTCTCTCTCCTCCAAATTAATTGCCACGCATTCAATTTCATCGTAAAAATCCTCCAAGATCTTCGTCTATCTTCCAATTCTCTCGTTGATGGCTCTAAAATGCAATTTTCAAGCCTTCAATCAGAAAATTCCTCATTTTATGAAGTTTGAAGTACTATCAGTGGAAAATCGAAACCCTAGAATTTTTAGGGGTTGGTTTAAGGGTTTCAAGTGGTGGTTTAAGGGGAGGAACGGAGTGAAGACGGCAGGGGGTGGGGCGAATCGTGTTCGCCGGAACCGAGGAGGGGGTTTTGGCATCGACCGGTGTGAACAATGGTTGCGAGCTTGTGTTGTTGGTGATTGAAAAAGCAGGGGAGGCGAGTAAAAGCTACTAGTATCGGGCTGTTGTTCACGGAATTGGTGGTTGTAGCGATGGAATGGTGCTGTCGCGCGATTTCAGGGGTAATATGCGCCGACGGGGGGTGGTCGAGGTGGGGAGCAGGGTGGCGAGGCTGGGGCAGGGTGGTGGCGGCTTTGGAGGGGTGGCTGTTTTTTTTGGTTAATTATTGTTTAATTAAGTTAATTAGTCTTTAAATACAAAAATATTGCCATGTTAGAGAAACTTAACAAAAGTAATGCTATTTTGGAGAATTTGTAAAAAAATTTGTTACCATTGAGAATGTGCAATTCTTTATGGCTACCAATGAGAAATTCTCGAGAAAAAAAGAGTGAGGGTGGAACTATGGAAGAAGATGAAGGAATTTAGTTAGGTATACATAAATTTTTGGGATATGAAATGACATATTAATTTAAGTTTTTTTTTTTTTTTTTTTTTTTTTTTTTTTTTTTTAAGTTTAAAGATGAAAAGACTATACGGCAATTTCATGAAATGCCACTGAGTACTTAAAAAATTCACCAAATGCCATCGCGTTTTTCAAAATTCACCAAATGTCACTGAGGTTTAGTACAATATCACCATATGTCATTTCCGTTAGTTGGCCGTTAGTGCCCGTTAGTTGACCGTTATTGACCCCACCACTTGCCACGTGTCACCTTCTAATTGGTCCGTCTTTTAAAAAAAACAAAAAATAACAAAAAATAAAAAAATAATTAAAAAAACAATCAAAACTTGCTGCCACCGGCCCACCACCAGCCAGCCGATTTCGGCCACCCCATCGCCAGACCCCCGTGTCGCTGAGGCCAACACCGGCAGCGCGCCGGCGGCCAGCACCCACCCAAAACCCCATTCCCCTCTCCTTTTCGATTCCGGCCATCCCACCCAAAACCCCCTTCCCCTCCCCTTTTCGTTTCCGGCCATCCACCCACACAACCCTCACCCTCGAAATCCGACAACCCCCTTCCCCTCCTTTTCCTCACACCCCCTTCGATCCGGCAGCCCCCTTCCCCTCCCTTTCCTCGCACCTAAACCTGGGCACGGGCCAGGATGGCCCGCGTGCCGCCCGGCACGGCCCAGTCTTCGACGGAGCACGACACTGCCCGACACCCAGCCCGGCACAATACAACTGTCGATTTCGTGCCACAGGCGTGCCATTGACAACCTTCTGGGTTTTCAGGCACGACCCGGCACGAGCACGGCCAGGGCCCGCCGTGCTGGCACGTTGGCACGGCCCGCCAAGCACGACGTTCGTGCCAGCCCAGCACGGCCCGTGTGCCCACCCAGAAAAACGGTAATATTACCGTTTTTTGCAACAGCTAATTGCATAATTAGCCAAAAAAAGGCTAGTTAACGGCTAGTTTTTGGCCAATTTGCTCCCCAAAAATTCTATAAATACCTACCTCAATTCACTTCCCAAATAACAAAATCACAATCTCTTCTTCTTATCTCTTAATCTCTTATATTCTCTAAAGCTCTAATAATCCTTATTTTCTTAAATTCTCTAATTATTCTCTTAAATTCTCTTATTATTTTCCTAATATCGAAAAAATTAAAAAGTTCGTATTCGTAATTGGTGGAGCGTTGAAGCACGGTTGTAAGATCTAAACTAATCTTTAATTTATTATTGTTTTATTGTTATTATTAAAGTAATCTTGTTTAATTATTATTGTTGTTAATTGTTATTGTTGTTGTTATAATTGTTGTTATTAATTATTATTATTGTTACAATTATTGTTATTATTTATTATTGTTGTTATTGTTTTTGTTATAATTGTTGTTATTAATTATTATTATTGTTATTTTTATTGTTGAAATTGTTGTTATTAATTATTGTTATTGTTAATCACTTTTTAATAAAAATCTAATTGTTAATTATGGCATCGAACAACCCATCATCTAGGGGGGGGGGGGGGGGGAAGGCCGACTTGGCCGTAGTAGTAGTTCTAGGGAACCACCTAATACAACGAGCCCCCAAATTCCGAGTCCAACCAATGACCCCGGTAACTTCCCCCTAGGCTATGAGCCATTTAGGCACGATGGTACTTCAGGTTTTTAACCCTATAATATGTCGGGATTTCCACCACCACCACCAAACCAATTTCCACCACAAAACCAATTTTCACCATCAAACCAATTTCAAAATCCACAACAATTCCCACAATTCGGTCAATTCCCACCTAATTATTTTGGTGATCAACAAAACTATTATTCTAGCCAAAATAGCCAAGAAAGTACCCAAATTCCCTCCGGTTCTACCCCTTCTACTACTACTACTAACCCAAACACACATTATGAATGGTTAACCGAAAGTGAGATGGTACTTTTGAAAAACCGAAGGAGTGAGGTATGGCGTCATTTCCTCCTAAATAAACCCCACCAAACACATGCAAAATGTAAAACATGTAATGGTGTATTCTCGGCAATATCCAAATCCGGGACGGGACACTTACTAGACACATGAAAGCTTGTGCACAACCAGCTAGTGATCAAACCCAGCCAAAAATTTCTCAGTTCCATCCATACGGCTTTACCTACAACTATGAGAGGGATAGGGATGAACTAGGAAAAATGATAGTACACGCCGAACAACCTTTTCTTTTCTTAGAAAGTGACCCATTTAACACTTACATTAACAAAGCACTACAACCCCAACATAAAATAATCTCTAGGAAAACTGTTCGTTCCGCCGCCATGAAAAACTTCCTAGAGTACAAATTGCAGTTACAAGCCGAATTGAGGGACCTTAACTGTAGAGTGTCTTTGACAGCCGATTCTTGGGATAGTGGTTATAAATATCACTATTTATGTGTGACTTTCCATTGGGTAGATGATCAATGGTTGTTACAAAAAAGAATAATACATTTCAAGATGCTTGAATACCCACACACCGGCATTAACATTGCTCACCATTTAATGCAAGCAATAGAAGAATACAACCTTCGAGATAAAATGATGTCTATGACTTTTGACAATGCAACCTCTATGACATACACAACTAATCTTGTCAAACAAAACTTAACCAATGTAATATTAGACGGTGATGCTCTTCATACTAGATGTTTTTGCCATGTACTTAACCTATGTGTACAGGATGGAGTTCGGGCAATTGGCCCATACTACAACAAAATCAGAGATGCTATTATGTCTATTAATAGCTCAAACATGAGGTACCAAGAATGGAAGAGTTTTCTAAGACAACAAAAGATAAGGGTAATAAAAATCAAAACCGATTGCCCAACTAGGTGGAATTCAACCTATGACATATTAACCAAGGCAATTGAGTACAAGGGCTCGTTAACACTATTTTACAACCAAAAATTTCCACAAACTGCTTTATATGATGATGATTGGTATAACTGTGAAAGATATATGCAATTTTTACAGTTATTATATAACATAACGTATTGTTTTTCTTCTGTTTACAATCCTTGTGCTAAAAACTTTCTTTCTAATGCATGTTTACTCGCCCAATTTTTCGCTGATCATCGCAACCAAAGTGATTATGATCAGTATCTTCCAGCAATGGAAACAAAGTGGCGTAAATATTATAGTGAAATTCCTTTGATTTATATTTTTGCATCCATATTAGATCCTAGGCAAAAGTATGAAACCACCTTTATGTTAGTTGACATTTATTTTCAATGCATGAATCTTGACGATGATGTAGAAACCTATAAGGCTCATGTGAAGGATCAGTTTTTTTCTTTATATAGAGTCTATGAAATCAAATATGGCACCGTTCCTCGCACAGACCCTTCCCAACCATCCAAAATCGTAAGTAAGAAGGCCAAACATTTATTTTCACAAGCTACTAACTTGATTTCAAGGTTTTCAGGTGATTCATCAATCAGGAGAATGCAAAGCGACGTCTCGGAGTTGCAGATGTACCTGAGTTACGACTTCACCAAAGGCATGGACGACGATGAGATAAACAGCCTCGACCTCCTTGCATGGTGGAAACAACAAAGCACGAAGCATCCAACTTTGGCGGCAATGGCACAAGACATTCTTGGTATCCAAGTCTCCTCTGTTGCCTCCGAACGAGCTTTCAGCGCATCCGGAAGGGTTCTGGACGATAGAAGAACAAGTCTAAAACCCGAAACACTAGAAATGTGCGTGTGTTTCAAAGATTGGTTGGATGCGGAAAATCGCTCACAAGACCGTTCTTACGAGGACAACGACAACGATGAAGGAACCTCCGCTTCCGACCGTTCGGGTTCGGCTAGTTCCCAATTTATCCAACTAGCCGATGAAGTCGAAGCCGACGACGAAGACGAAGACGAGCAACAAGAAGAATAGACAATTTTGGAATATTGTACGATTTTAATCATTATCAATATTATCATTTTCCAATTTTTGTTTAATACCATCATTGTACGATTTTTATCATTGTTATCATTGTACAATTTTCTCAACTCAAGTAATAATAATATGAAGTACGCATTATTCACATCCAAAGTCCAATTTGCCTTTTTTCTCCGTTTTGTTATAATTTGTAAATTCATATTAAAAAAATAAAATAAAATTATACCAATTAGGCAATTACTAATACAAAATTATATTTAATAAATCATAAACATTAAATTTTAAAGTAATAGTATAAAGTAAATATATAAATATAAATATTGAATATACAAAATTATAAAACATAAATATTCAACTTAAATATACCTTATAATTTTATAACTTATAACTTATAAAACTTATAATTATAATTTTATAACTTATAAGTTATAAATTTTTATAACTTATAACTTATAATTATAATTTTATATTTTTATAAATTATATACATTATAATATAAGTTATAATTTTATAACTTATTAAAAAAAAAAAAATTAATCTGGAAACTGCCCAGCCCGCAGCCAGCTTGCCAGGCCAGCACGCAGGCCGGCACGTGGCAAGCACGACACGAGCCCGCCAGGCACGAGGGCCGTGCCAAGCCGTGGGCTGGCCTATGAAAATGGTCGGCACGTCACGACACGAAGTTTGAGCACAGCGGCACGACCGGCACGGCACACCGTTGAACGTGGCCCGCGGCGGCACGGCACGATGCCCACCTTACTCGCACCCCCTTTGACTCTCAAAAACCCGACCCTAGGGTCGAAAATTGGTGGTTCCCTGTACCCGATTCCCCCTTGGTTCGAATCATCACCGCACCTTCTAGAATCCGGCGAAGAGCTTCTCTGAGGTTCCGGCAGCCGCAATTCCATTAGAGTTTGGGTGGTTTAGGATTTTCGGGTGAGGATTTTGGGGTTGAGGGTTGCGTTTTGGGGTGGGGAAGAAGAGGGGATCAAGTCGATGCAAGGAAAGGGGAGGAGGGTGGTGAGGCTTGGGGTATCGGGATAGACCTCGCCGGCGTGGGGAAGAGTCGGCGACCAACAGGAAAACGTGGGAAAAGGGGATGGGGGTTGCAGGCTGGGGGGAGGGAGGCTGCCGGCAGTAGCTAGTGGCAGCCTGACATGGGAGTTGGGGTTTTTTTTTTTTAAAACGGACTAATCAGGTGACACTTGGCAAGTGACGGGGTCAACTAACGGTCAACTAACGGGCACTGACGGTCAAGTAACGAAAATGGCATATGGTCATATTATACTAAACCTCAGTGGCATTTGGTGAATTTTGAAAAACGCGATGGTTTTTGGTGAATTTTTTAAGTACTTAGTGGCATTTCATGAAATTGCCAAAGACTATATTATACCTTCATATGTTTATGTAATTGTACTAATTAAGCTAATTAGTTCATCTCTATTTTATTATGGTGGAAATGAAACACTTCATTTTCTTACTTAAATTTGCAAGTTACGGAATGTATAGACTTTAACATTTTGTAATATATTTATTTTAATTTTTATTATAAAAAGGGAATACGAAAAATTAAGGAAAGATTAAGGGAGGTGACATGTGGCTAGGGATGTCAGTGGGGCGGGGATAGGTCTTGGTTTGGTGGGTGGTTGGGCAGGGATGGGGATAAAAATCATACCTGGCATGGGCAGGGGTGGATTTTACGTTATACCCACCCCATCCTTTACCTGCTCCACCCGCCCTACTTTGTACCCGCCTCATCCCCACCTCACACCCACATCTATTATCTTCGTTTCATATTATTTGCAATGATTAGACATTTTTTCTCTCTACTTTATGTCAAATCGTTGCAAATAATATGAAACAGAGGTAGTATATATTTTTAAAAACAAAATTATATACTTTTAAACTATTTTATATAAAAAAAATTATGTAAAATAAAATAGCAAATATAATCATTTGTAATACACTAATATTATAACTAAAAAAGTGTGTAATATTAACAATATTTTTTTTTTGTAATCTTCATTAACTATGTTGGATTGTGTATTGGGAGGTGGGGATTAGGTGGGTCTTAGGTGGGGATTAAGTGGGGATGAATATCCAAGTGGGGGGTGGGGCGGAGATGGTTATGGAATTGTACCCGTCAGGGCGGGGATGGGGATGAAAATTTTAGGCGGGGATAGGGATGGGAAGGCCAACATCCGCCCCGCCCCTCCCAATTGACATCCCTATATGTGGCATATAATTGATTTGTGATGACATGCGGCATATGAATGATTTATACTCTGTGTTTTTTAATACTATTTGTGTTTTTTAATACTAAGTACAGATAGATATAGATATAGATATGGATATTCAGTAAATGCAGATACTTCTCCGCACCTTGTGTCCTTACCCACCTAATATTATTGGCAAGTAATTGCAACATACATTAATTTGTATGAGCAAAAAGATGAAAATTAAAGATTGGGAAGGAGGGTGTGTGAAAAGAGTAATTCTAAGCATTCGACCTCCTCTCTTGAACACAACCCCATTAGATTTATCTACCCACTCGAACATGCTGCAAATGTTGCACTTATGGTACAATCTTCCTGGATTGCTTATTGTGTCAGAAACCTTAACATCAGCGAACTTGAAGTGGCAATGGCAGACCTTCATTTTCACCCACTTATCCACCATCGCAAATCTCCTGAACTCGCTCGCAAATGTGTTACAGATAAGATAAGGGAAAAAGAAATACAAAGGAAGAAGAAGATGAGCAATCGAAAAAATTGGGGAAGTAAGAGTTTTATAAGAAAACCTAATTTTTGGGGGGAGGGAAATTGTTTTAATTGTTTTGGAGGGAATTTATTTAACCCTAGTTAGTCATTTTAGGTTAATTTAGTCAGTTTAAGTAAAATAATGTTAGATTAGAGAACAATTAGATTACTAATGCTATTTTAGAAATTTGAAAAAAAAATTGTTACCTAGAGAATGTGCAATTCTTTATGGCTACCAATTAATGAGAATTTCACTTAATTAAATGACAAATGTAAAACATGAAAGCAATACCAAAGTGGCATCAAATGTAAATCAACATCACAAGTTCACAACGTACATGACACACAACGTACTAGAGTGGTCTCAAAATGAGAGATGCCACTTTGATGATTACAAGTATACATACTAACACAACAACTGAATAGGTCAAAAGTATGTAGCATATTTGTATTAATTAGTATGATCAGGTGATGAAATGGACTGTCTTGCAGGATATATATGCTATTGTTGATCCCATAACCGGCCGCACAACATAACTCCGTGTGGCTGACGAAAAGATTGGTTTTCCTAGCGGAACCATTTTATAATGTCCGGTAAATGAAAACACAATGAGGGGTGTCTTGGCAGTTCCCTCAATATGAAACTGATAATCTTGATATGACGTCTTCTCATCAACAAGATAAGTAAGGAGCAGAGGACGCAAGTGAAGATAGCTAACCATAGAGTGTCGGAGATTGTGGTTACATAAACTCCTGTCATGAAAGCTACTAGAGTTGCGTAAAATGATAACAGCAGCAATTTGATGATCATATCTACAAGCTCAAATTGTACTTCATCCCGTTCAACATCCTTAGACAATAACCAAAGGAGGCAGAAAAGAACCATCATAGAGCTGCACATCCCTACTACATCTGAAACCATAAACACTTGGAATGCTGCCTTCTTCCCTAAATTCGGAATTCCAGTGTCACCTTTGTACCCACCGGGAACAGTAAATGCTGCTGTAAATGTTATTGTTGCTAGCAGTGCCTCCACCACTCCCATTGTATTCATAAATTCCTTTATATCTTCTTTACTCACATCATAAGCACTTCTATATAAACCCATCGAAATAGTGTTTTTGACTATATCTCGTGATTGAAGGAATTTTTGAAACTGAAAATGTATATTAAAACACAGAAGTATAATGAATTCATGATACATACTTCTAATTTCTTGGAGACTTTCTTTAAAAAAAAATTTAATTAATTTTATTCATTAAAACCATAAAATCTATTTAGTTATGATAAGAGCGAGTATAAAATATATTATTAATTAGGCCTCAGCCATCAACTTTAACTTTTGGTTGAATTGATCCACTAATATGGTATTGGAGCCAGCGTGACATAAAGGTCACGGGTTCACCCCCACTGTCAAGTGAAATATTTCGTGCAGGTTAAAATAATTTGAGTGGAGTTTAACTTAAGTAAGAGAGAACAATAATAAAATATAATATAATATTGATGAATTAAAAAAACATCCATAAAAGGAAAGTAATGCATTAAAAAAAACAACTTAATATTTGGTTGAGTTAATCCTTTAAAAAATATAAAACATATTCCTGGGCCTCAATTATCAGCTTAATCTTTTGGTTGAGTAGTTAATCCTCTAACAAGTTTATTGAAAATAGGATAGTACACCCGGGTGCACCATGCACCGGAAGGCGGAAAGAACATACGATTGTTTGATAAAGAATATACTGTGTTTGACAAAGAACAACCCATATATGTTTGATTATATGTTTTTTAATACTTATGTGCTTTAACATATGTTGATTAAACATGTTTTTTGGGTTTCAATAATATAAAGTATGTTCTTTGAATTTGGCTTGTATGTTCTTTCAGGTAATGAGTGGCGCACAATTTTTTTTTTTTATTATCATATATCATTTTTTTTATCGTATGTTCTTTGAGTTTGATCAATGTACTCTTCGGGTATGAATTATATGTTTTTTACATTATTACTTATGTTCTTTTAACCTATGTTATTTGAATTTTGAAATTTAATTTGAAAATGAAATCTTGAATTTTTTTTTAGTTAGAAATATTTTAGAGAGAGAAAACATACTAAAAGTATTATCAAAAGTTGAATTTTTGGAGAGAGAGAAAACTATTTTTAGGGAAATGATATCTTTGGTTAAGATTTTTTCCCATTAATGTGTAATTTTTCATATAGTTTGATAAATTTTTTATCACGTTCTTTTTAGAAATGTCTTTATGTTCTTTAATAATGCATGTTCATTGTTAAACACAAACATGTTATTTTTCGAAAACCTACATGTTATTTTTCGAACATCTAAATGTTCTTTCAGCCCATTATTTATTTAACCGGGTGCACCATGAGCATGGTGCACCCGGGTGCACAGATCATAAAATAATGCAAGTAAATAACTACCTAATATGATATGGAGTATATAAGTACTTGTATATGTTAGCTAGTAATAAGATAAAATACTTAATACAAACTAGTTGGCTAAGATAATACTACCTACATATTTTTAGCAATTTTGAAATATTTTATATCTCACAAATAATATCCCAAAATGGCAAAAAATATAAAGCGGAGGTAGTATAAGACTTTTAAATTTGGCTCTTGTTGAGTATAGTATGTGTAAACTCTTATAAATAGTGTTGCGACAGTCATGCCCCTAAAAATGTTTATTTACGTATTTACCCCTTTTAAAAGCATATGACCACACTTTTATGAATATTATTGTTGAAACAATTATGTCCCTAAAATGTATATTATATTTGTCCTCATTATTAATGTTAATTTTTTTTAACTCTTAAAAATAACGTGTGGACATTTATATTCCTAAAAATATTTGTTTATATATTTTCACCAATTAACGCCACTAACAACTAAAACAATAATTTAACATAATGCAAAACCGAGAGCACTTCTCGGACATGACTAGCTATGACCGTTAGCCGCCCGAGTAATATTAAATTTTTCGTTTCCCCAATTTCCCATTTTCTCATTTCCGTTTTCGTTTTCCATTTTCGAGCAACCTAGAATCATACCAATAGTATTTATCGTAAAGAACTTATGAATAAATTTGGTACTTACCTTGTGAGATTTTGGGTCTGTATAAACTGTTGTACAATAATACTCGTACTGTTTTTGTGTTGATTAAGCCAAACTCTAAAACGTTTCCCTTTAATATCTACAGAACATTCAACTAAAATTGAGCCTTCTCAAAGTAACTCTTGTCAACAGCTAAATCAAGTGGAATGTAACCCTGGTCATCTTTATATGTAATTAGAGGGAGTATTGTACAAGATGTTCAAGTAATGAAATATGGAGGGAGTATTGTACAAGATGTTCAAGTAATGAAATACGGAGGGAGTATTATACTAAATGTTCATTTTAAATGTTCTTTGGTCATTGTTTATAATTTTAATCAATTAATTTCAACATATTTGAATATATGAAAATTATATTCATTTTTAGTATACTTATTTTCATTTTTTTTTATGTGCTCATTTTTAAATAATAAATGTTTTTTTTATTTTTTTTATTGTGGTCATATATTTGTATGAAATATTTTATTAGATAAAGTAAGCTATTATATAATTGTATGATAAATGTTTCGGGGTTTTCTGATGTCCTGCGGGAGAGTTACAATTCCGAGACTGGAACCGGACGCCTGTACCTGCAAAACAAACGGATGCTCCGGATGATTGGAGATCCGCCTCCGACGGTCAAGTTAGTACATGATTAAGGAGTAATTAATGCGGAAATTAAAGTGATTGGGTCTCTCTAGGTGAGAGTGTTTAATGTGTGTAATCTGCGTAATCTCCCTTAATGAGGATTAAGGGAGGTATTTATAACCTCGGGAAACGTGCCAATCTAGGTTTAGGTTAACCTTGGGCTGATTGGGCTTCCCTCGGAAGTTGGGCCTAGGTGACCGGCTTCTCCATTAGGCATGGAGTATGCCACGTGTCATGACATAATAAGTCCAGGGTGGACGAATAAGCGTGTGCCACGTGGCAAGCCCTAAGAGGTCCAACTGGGGGACACTTGGCAGGACCTGATTGGCCCACGTGGCGCATTCCGATTGGTGGGAGAAAAATCCCCTAATCATTTGCCCCTCACAGGTGGCACGTGACTGGTCACGTGTTACCTGTGACAGGTGTTGCCCTGTAACAGGCGACGGCCTGCTACAGGTGTCACTCGGCGAGAGGCCGAGAGATTCTCCCGCCAAAATTTTGAATTCTGGAAGTGACCCTTCGCCTTCTCACTTCGCCTATATAAAGGAGTGTTGACTTCGGTCATTTTCACACTTGAAAACTTTGTGAGAGAACATTCGGACCCCAGAACTTGCTCTGACATTTTGGACCCTTTCTGCCTACCTCCTGCTCTGACAAGCCGACTGCAAAGGATTTTTAGAACTTCATCAATCATCACTCGTTCAGGTAACCGTCGGTTCTCTTACTCTTAATTTTCTCTTTACTTTATTCTTTTTTGAAATGGCACCACGGAAGCACACGACACGACCTAGGTTAGTGATCAGCCAGTCACCGAGGACGGCTGAATCTAGGACTAGGAGTGCCGCCTGCCCTTTTCTGGACCCATCTTTGCCCTTTATACAAAGTTCGACTGTATCTGTGTCTATGCAGAGCATGATGGCCAGAACAAAAAAGACTGCCAGGATCTCAGACTCAGACGACTCCTCCCACAGGGTGCCGATTAGTGAAACATCTGACCAGGCGCCAGATGTGGAAGTGAAACAAAGCGGCTTGAAAGCCGACAGTTCTGAGGGAGGAGTCAAAGTGACCCCTTCCCATTTTACAGTTGACAATTCTACATTCTCTCCTGCTCCTTTGAAATGAGAGGAGGCGGGCCCCTCTGGGAGAGGGGAGGAGTCGTCCTCTTCGGACTCGTCAGAGGACGAATCCGAATCTAGCTCTTCTGGCCATGCTTCTCTGGACACAGAAGAGAAAAACAGTCGCCTACAAGAGGCGAGGCTTTCTCACGCAGTTGAGAAGGGGGACGATTGGGCGGAGCCATCCACCTCTCACCGAGAGCAAAATACCCCCTACTACTGCACGGTACCTCGGGGCCGGATTACGGCCATGCAAGAGAAAGTGGGGAGCTTTATCGCAAACCACATAATGGGCCCCGGCTTCTTAGTGTTTGTGCCGGATCCAAAAGACACAGTCGTCTGGCCGGCTGGTACCAGTTATGATGGCGCCTGCTTTGGCTGCTACGAGGCGGCCATCAAGGCTGGGCTGCGCTTCCCACTACATCCGGCTGTTCAACGGATCTTGGATGGGTATGAGTTGGGGTTATGGCAGTTAGCCCCGAACTCCTGGGTCAACGTACTCGGCTATATGGCCGGGTGCGAACTGCACGGGGTGGAGCCGAACTTCGAGGCTTTCGCCCACATGAACTACCTCAGCCGGACCCCTAAGGCAAGCGGTACCGGCTGGTATCAATTGACGAGCCACAGGGGCTACCTCATGACGAGAGGTAAAGCAAACAAATGGAAGGACTGGCGGAGCACCTTCCTTATCATTGAGAGTTCAGACACAGAGCTGAACAAGCGCTTCAACAGGTGGAACAGGAATCCGCCCCTTCTTGCAGGCGGCCGCAACATGCCGCCTGTTCCCCCCAAGGCTAAGAAAGAGATCCTAGATAAAGGACTCTTCAAAGTAGAGTCGAAGGTGAACTCTACTTCAGGGGTACGAGAGCAAGTACCCCTGCACTGCGTCCCGAGCTTCAAATGGCTCTACGACGAGTACTTTTTGGCCGCCTGTGGCCTCAGCAGTCTGTGCTCAAGAGGTAGCCGGCCTGTCGAATACTCTGTTGTTCCGTGCATTTCTTGTTATGACTTTTATTAACTTTGCTATTTGTTTTTGCAGCGGACGCCATGAGCAAAATTACCGCCTCCAAGACTGCGGCGGCCATGCTGCGGGCCTCCATCATGCAACAGTCTTCAACCGACTCCCCTAACAAGGGGGCACCCTTGGTGGGCTTCGAACCTTTCACCCTCCTTTTGGAGTTGTGTTTATGCATATACTGACTCTTTTCTTCTTTTTTAGACGGGCGCTCCAAGAGCTTCTTCTTCCCAACAGCCGGACCTCAAGGCCGGGAGGACGACTGTTGTGAGC